TATTGGAATTTTAAGAAAAGGATTCAACCAGATTCTAACACAAAGAAAATACATCAGGTAAAGATTCTAACTCTATCTAGCTTACAGGATGGGTCAAATCGATGGGGGCGGGCGCATAGCATAGTTAATGTACCAGAACCTTGTTTTTGTCGAAACAAATTTAAAACAAGAATTAGCCGGGATTATTTTTTTATCAATTAAATTCTAAATTTTCCTAGAAGTGGATATTACTTCAGGTTATAACAATGCCAAAGAAGAACCACTACCGTAAGCTAGCTCAGGGTCTTTCAAATTGAAATACCCTGGCTAGCTGAATAGTTAAAGGCACATTATGCCTCAGAAATCCATTTTTTTTTAATTCTTTAGAAACGTCGGCCTTGGGTTTAATATTGTTTAAATAATAGATTAAGGACATGTTAGATGCTTTACAACAACACAAATTGAGCTGAACGTGCATTTATGCGTCGTAAAGGTAGCAAAAAGTAAACAAAGAAGTATTTTGACTTCATTACAAAATAATAATTCACTATGATTTTACCAATTGCCAACAGAACTTAACAGTATTTTCACGTTAAACCGTGATAATATTCGTATAACATAAAGTTGACGCTCGTTATGTAACCTAGGTAATATGACAAGATTGTTAACAAGGAAGTTATGTCATAAAAACAAAATCGAAAGAAGAAGTAAAATAATCGGAGACAAACCTCAACAATATTTAAAACCAAAAACATAGATTTATCTTCGGAGAGATAAGGGAGTACTGCATAAACTTCATACTCATCTTTATATTGACAAGTCTTGGGGTGTCGGTGGCGTGCACGATGAGTTCTCAAGCATTTTTCCAACATTTCAGGTGACGTATTGAATAAATCGTGTAATTCTGCTCTATATGAATCAATTTCGTCATCTACAAAGCTGTCAAATTGAATAATAGTTAGTAGGAAGCCTATTTCTTTTTCACTTGCATATATGAAACTTTAAATTTAAATAACCTTTACGTTGCTAATTGTAAAATGATACCAAATATAAAATATTGATTTCTATAATGTATGATATTTCGTCATTTTAAAAATAACATTTTCTTTGCAGACAAAGTTGTACACGATGGATACCAGTATGATTGTTTATCGTGTACTTAGACCTGATGAAAACCCGGAATGTTTAACAGCTAATAACCCATTTGCTTTTATGTTCACCGTGTTTGATCACGTCTCAAACGGAAATTTGAGCACTCAGTTTATTTCAACATGTAAATCAAAGGCTGCAGTTATGGACTTTGCAGAAAAGGGAAAATATTTTCCAACTGGATTAAGGAAGATAGTGTCTATCAACTTGACCAAACTAATGCAGCTCGTTCCTCGTTGTGAGATTATTGATTTGACTCTGCCAGGTGTGCTCAACAGTTATATACCAGATACATGGAGCGGCGTTAACAGTAGGGCCAGGAACTTTGCTACAAAGTTTCAAGAGGTTTTGATAAAGCTTCCGGTGATCCAAATTACGCCAGTACGCATACCAGCAGAGTGTGTGGCTGTAATAGGTTATGTATAAAACATTCTGATCAATATGCTAAATGAAGCTCCATTGGAAATTTCTATTGATTTGTTTATTACCTACATAAAGTGATAATTGTCTAATTACAAATAAAGATAGAGGCCTTGGTTAAACAATGAACGTTTTCATTGTTAAAGACACATTGAGTGTCAACAATAGTGTAAATCAAATGCAACAAAACGTTAAAAAAAAATTCAGAATGTGAAGAGTGATACGATATTAACCAAACTAATGAATACTGTACATAGCTTTTGATTTGTTAACAATTAATCATAATAAAATAATGAAAATATATAGTATGCGGCTGATATGATATATATCGTATTATGTTTTGTTATAATGATGTATTCTGTACAAGCCCTGAAAAGTTTTGACTCTGTTGTAAGTAAGTAAATATGTTATTATCGTGACATGTGCATGCTTCCTATTACAATACATATCTACAAGAGTAAACAACATAACACCCGGTCTCATGGGCCTATAAGTTACAAGAAATCATATACATTATGATAATGATAATAATCATTATTTATTTACATATATATATATATATGCTTTGTTCAAATATCAATTTGAGTCAATTTGTATTTTACTGATATAATTAAGAAAAGCGGTTAGTAAATAAGGCTTATAATGCGTCAAAATAACACGTAAAAAAAGGGGTTTAATTGAAAATAAAAGGGAAGGCGTTATTTCTTTTTTGAAATTATGAAAAAAAAACACGTTTTTTTAAAAAACGCTTCCCATTTAAAATATGTAACGATATAAATCTCATAGTAATTGAAAACTTTAAATAGGGTAACCCCTGGCATAAATTTCCAAAATTTTGTATAAATAGTTTTTTTCCGTTTGTCTTTTCAATTTGGAAAGAATTTGGTTCAATTTACAAACCAAAAAGGTAATAGAAGGGTCTGTGAACAAGCGGTTCCCAATAAAATTTTACCCAACATTTTCTAGGAAAACATTTAATTTTTAAAATTTGCAAACTTTGTTTTTAGGTTTTTAACAAAGTACGGGTGAGGGGCGTATTTCCCCCAAATAAAATTTTTTTTTAAAGGAAAGCTATCCCATGGCAACTGTGGGAAGGAAATGCCTTTTCGTCTTCTACCTCGTTTGAAGGAGAAAGTCTACATGTTCTCTGTTCAACCGTTTCTCCTATATAGCGACCAGATTCTCTTCTAAGTGGCATTATACCGCTTCTTAACTGGAAAAATAATGAACGTTCATATTTTAAGGTTCAGATTTAAGTAGTTTTCACATTCGTTGTTTGATTAAAAAAGTTTGTGAGTTCTCAGTTTTGCAACAGTTTGGATTTCCCCATTTCTCTGAGTGAGTAATGCAATCACCTGCTGTCGACAACGTAATCGTTGATCTAGAATCCAAGGCTATCGACGGTTCGTTTTAACCAATTGTTACGGCATACCTCCATGAACTCATAATTATGGATAAACACCCGTTTCGTCAACCAGATGCGTAAAATACATATCCAGCGTCTGTACAGGCTAGGTAGCCAACCTGTATCACCGTATAATGCTAGAATTGGTGTGAACCTGTGTACACCAAAGAAGAATCGGAGTGTACGGTGCTGTATGTTATCAAGGCACTGTCTTGTCCCCATATAGAGGCGCCGTAGGTGCAACACTTGAGAGGTAAAGTTTTTCATAGGTCTGACATTCTTAATCTTTCATGTTGTGTATTTTGTTTATAAGATTTCCTAGAGCACGTCACACCGATTTTGTTAACAAATCACAATTTTTCGTAAAGTTTTTCATGGAATGTAATTCCTGGATATTTGTAATACTCGTCTATTTTAATATGTTGTCACATATTTTGAAAACAAAATGCGATCTTGGAGCCATGCCTTTTCTTAAGTGCATGTATTTAGATTTGTTTATATTTATAATAACCATCCAATGTTTGCACAAGTTATGTAACAGATAGAGCATATTCTGTAGATTTTCTATATTGTTGGATATTAACACACAAGATAAATACCTTGACGTCTCCCATATCGATGCCAAGGTCAAGGTCATTCATATCCCTCACAAGGTCATTGGCGAATACTGAGGATATTGCCGTGGCAATTTGAGCCATGCATTAAGATGCGTATTCACCAATATAAATATAACACTAACGACGCAAGCCAATTAAGTTGTGTTTGTTAATTGGATTGCATTAAAGGCCCATTATGTCTCAGAAATGCTATCATTTTTATTTCTTAAAAGCTTTTTTTATTTTTGTTACCTTGTTATAGTTTGCAAAAAAACTCATTTGCCGTATAGTTGGACTATCTTTGCTTCTCTGACTTAGTTGGCAATTTGCATAATTATAGTGATTTGTATGGGAGTCAAAATACTACTTTATTTACATTTTACTACCTTTACAACACATTACTGCACATTCACCGCTACTTTCCTCAGCAACATGCTCTAAATTAACACATTGTATACACATGTTTGACTTTTCTAAAAACATTAGTAAATAGTGATTTCTGAGTTTACCATTGCATGGAGAATGAAAGGAAATAATGAAATATTAACAAGACACCATTTCTTTAATTGTATTTGAAGATTCGGTTTTTATGTCGTTTGTTTTGTTTTAATGTTTTGCATATATTATGTTATAGTCTACACTCTTTTTAAATAATATTTAGAATTCATTCGGATTAAAATACATATGCCGTAAATCACAATACAAATCGAGACAAAACAGTGTTTCTAAGTCGCTATATATCCGTGTACACAATTGTGTAAGCAATTGGCCGTTTCCATTAAAATATACTACAAAAATAAAGAACAATGGCAACAGTAGGGATCGAACAACGGACCTCTCATATGTTAGACAATCACTTAACCGGATGTGCTATTGCACGACCTCATTATCAGGCTTGTGCACCTGTCAAACCATTAGTTATTTACTCCATATTAATTCCCGTAAACTACACGGACAAATATGGAAGTGTGATCGCATATTTAAATGAGTGCTATAATTTATTCATATTTGACATGTCAATAAAATCCGACTATACCACAGAAATCACTGAAGTGCCGTGTTAATCTGGTGTCATTATAGTACAATGTAGCTTGCCACCAGAGCATGCTGACTTTCATGAACATTTTGGAAATGTATATAAAAGTGTGAAATGAAAAATAATGTAATTTACACATTGTAAATAGGAATCTAGTAAATTACCAAATAAATGTCAAAATATGCAAAACAAAAACAGCAATTACTACGTAACGCAACAGAAACATGGTGATGAATACTGCAAAATCAGTCATTAGTCGCACATAACATGTAAATTCCCATCTTTGTACTTTCTCCTCTAATTTGATTTTCTTGATATTTTTACTCATCTCGTGTAGAAATACGGCGACTTAATCAAGTAGTTCCCCTTGTTTGGGACATTTAAGTCACAACAAATTATAAAACAAAGTATAATACACATGATACAGAAGTTTAATGTACTTTTGATAGAGCAACAGTCACATGAAAAGCTATATATATGTATTATTACACCTAAACAAGCGTATCGAAAACTTCTTATCACAATATCGTAAATTGATACAGTAAACAATTTATAACATTCATATTTCTACTGAATACACAAAGGTTTGATATGTTTTAAATTCTTCCCACATTTTAAACACTAGCCTACATTCTTTTAATTTTGTATTTTTGGGTAAATACTACTGTAAAAAGCACTTTAAATGAATTTGATAATTTTACTACTTAAATTATTTATGATACTAAACAATGTCATGAAACACTTAAACTAAAAATGTTCTATTCTTTCACTGCTTTAGTTTAATCATCTCACAAAAAATTTGCCGATCTACCCCTATCTACATATAGCCGAACGGGATAACTTTTTGCACGGTTGCTCGGGTTACTGACATTACACGGACATCTCTTATAACTCCATGTTGGAGTGGTATTTTACTGTTATGATGTAAACTTTTGCCCTAAACGTTTTGTATATGATGTCTATACAATGATGAGACGTAAACAAAGATTATAACTATTGTGTTAATATTAGATTAAAAAAATAGGTTGTGGCGTTTGTGGCCGAACGTTTGTGTCATTGACTTCAATCCACTTGTCCCGCACCGCCGTGGGTTCGAATCTCGTTAGGGACTTTGAATTTTTAATGCGAGTCGAAACGTTGGTGGTTCTACTCAGGTGCTCGTTCGTGCTTGAAATAATGCATGGAGGGTCACCTGAGGTCTTCCTCCATCGGTAAAGCTGGAAAGTCGCCATATGACCTGTATTGTGTTGGTGCGACGTTTATCCAACCCCCTTCCCACTAAATCAACAACAACAAACAGTAGGTATTATGAACAAGGCAGTATGAAAGTAAAGAAATATATCATTATTTTGAAAATTAATGATGAACAACATATATGACACAAATTTCGCTTTGTCTTTTAAGGAAATAATGCAATTACGTAATGACGTATCATGATCTAAATACAGTATATTGAAGTAAAGCACAAGCATCACTACAATACGAATACCTATGAAATCACGGGTCGAATAAATGATTATAACGACGTACCCTCTAGGCTAAACACGTGCTTTTACATGGTATCTCGTATAAATCAAAGATTAAACATTTTTTCGTTTCCTCAAAATACTCAAAAGTTAAGTCATGCATAAAGCACCACGAATCAAAAATTCAATAAGCAAATAATAACAATAACAATAAGAAGAATATGGCGTGTCCCTTGAAACTAATTTGAGCCGTGTCACGACAAAACCAACATAATGGGTTTGCGACCAGCATGGATCCAGACCAGCCTGCGCATCTGACGCGGCTCATTTATGTTAGATGAACGAGCGTTTAGTTTACGTATCTTGGATCAAGTACAGTGTATGCACGATACAGTCTGGTTGTTTTCTTTGGTAAAAGATGTTCCGTGTAATACTGAATTAACTCTTCAACTGTCGAAAAATACATAGTGCTGTCAATTGTCACGCCGTTATTCTGAAAGAAAAATAAGACATTTTATAGTCTGATTTTATTGACCTGTCAATAATGAATACATTATAGCACTCATTTAAATATTCGATCCCACTTCGGTTTTGTCCGTTTATTTTACGAGAATTAATATGGAGTATATAGCTAACTTTTGGAAAACTCCAACTAGCTTAATGTTAGTTCTCGTAACATCCGCAATAGCACAGTTGGTTAAGTGATTACCTTATGTATGAGAGGTTCGGGGTTCGATCCCTTTTTTTGACATTCTTTTTAGACTTATTCTGTCTTTATTTTTAGGTATATTTTAAAGAAAATGGTCAAGAGCTTGCAAATTGTCTACACGGATATGAAACAACTAAAAGAAACACTGAAATTTCACATTTTGTAATCTGAATGAATTTTCAGTATCAATCTTAAACAATGTTATACATACAAAAATATAGTATTTACAAAAGAGTGCAACACATATTAAAACAGAACAACCATAACTTCAAAAATTTTGAAAATAATTATGAATAAGAAAAAAACCCTGGACATACACTGTCTCGATCTTACAACATGTAAGACATTTTGATATTATATACCCGTGGTTTACCCTATTGCGCTATAACGGTGAGTGTAGCTAGTTCATAGAAACTAGATGAATTTAATCACATCTTACTGCATACCTCTCACGGAATTTACCGAACATTTATCGAATATTAATATATTCTGTGCATTGACCGTATAATGAGTATGGAATTGACAGGTTAATAAAATCAAACAATAACATTAGTCAAAATTTGCCGTCGTCCATTTGTGAATGATGTCTTGTCTGTATCTACAACTTCAAACTGAATCAGACTTTTTTATGTTTACCATCATGTTACCGTACCTAATTATTATTATGCTACTTTACTACTGTTATCCCGGCGGCCTTTGGACCACCTTGGAAAAAACGAAATGAACGTGTGACAACGCGGTATGAGGGGAAAGGCAAACGTACCGTTATTTTCTGTTGATGCCGTTCCATAATTTAAACTGCCGCGGCAGCTCGATTCTGAATACGGGCCATTGTTGCCAAAGGTCTTTATTTTTCAGATGTGTACTGTGAAAAAGTACTGTTACATTTGTAACAGGAGACATTTTTTAATCACATGGTACATTTATACTTGATCACTTAGTTAGAAATTATCTAATTAGTGAGGGGATAACAATACTGTCTCATTATGATATATCATAAAAGCAAAAATGTTTTTACCTTCGGGTAAATTTTAAACTCTTTTAAGCATCCTTCAATGTTAACCGAAAGAACCTGTAAATGTGAAAGACATGCTTGTAATTAGTAAAATAAGAAGTCTGATATCTATTAATACTCATGAACATATGTATGTACATAATTCTAACAAGATATTTTTTTCATATTTATAGATGCTTGTATTATAATTGCAACATGCATATTGTTTTACATTTGAATATCAATAAGAATTTCAATTTGAACAAGATCAACAAAACATTGTTTTTTTAATTAAGAAATTATAACGAAATGTGCAACAATATACCTCTTTTCCATCAGATCTTGATTTTCTAACTAGATATGTCCCTTCTGGTCTTTCCACCAACAACCTGTATTACAAAATGAAGTATCAGTTAACAAAGCCATTTACAAAAATTTCTGCCATTAGTACATATTTAGGGTAATAAACAATATTATCATGTTACAAAGTTAAAATCCGTTACTATATATATCTGGTTGCCAAACCGGCATACCGATGCCCTATGTGTGCCTGAAATAATGCACGGAAGGGCATCTGGGGTATTCCTCAACCAGTAAAACTAGAACGTCGCTGTGCCGACGGGACGTAAAACCCGATCAAACAAACAAACGTACTAGTCATATTACAACACTAGCCTTTCATTAAGGGTCTTTTCATGATAATACGATTGGTGTTTGAAGACGTGACGACAATTAATAAAAACTATGGCATTATTATTTCCATTGTTTTTTAAAACAATCAATATATGAATAAAACAATTTCATCCAAATAAATGTACATTGTATAATTATATGTCAATCAAAAAACTTTTCTTATCAAAGAAACATATCATCTTATGGTTCCTTGCCCTTGATTATGGCAGTTAACGATCAATCTGATTAAAGTCAGCCCCTAAATAACGCTACGCATTGGTAAGAAGTAATAAGTAGATCTGAGCTTAAGTCAGATTAAGTAACGATATACATTTTAGATCAATTTTGTTAACTAGTAATTTATTTATCTGACAAGTTATCAATGACTGTTTCTGATAAAAATGAAACAAAATTTACTGTTCTATTTGACCCCTATCACTTCCGTCGTATTCAAATGCTTCCCTGAGAACGGCATTCTGAAAATGAAAATTATTTATTTCAACAATTGACACAAAATCGTGTGATTTAATTAATAAATCTTCACTATCTATTATTAACAATTACTTTTTTAATTTTTTTCAGCAATAATGAATTGTCCCTACGGCGAGTGATGGGTCAGTGCAGCTTGTACGTTCTTCTTCCTATATTGTATATATTATTCTGATAACATTATTATTTTATGTCGATTTAATTCGTGAGCTGTCATCAAAAATGTTTTATGAAATACTAGTATACATACAACGGAAAATCAAAGTCATAATTAATTGTAGATAAATGATAATACCGATAATAATTAAATGTACATAAATGATAATTCCAATAATAATTATAGCAGATAAATAATAATACCAATAATAATTAAATGTAGATAAATGATAATACCAATGCAGTATAATTTGCTACATGTTCATTTCTTTATGCACCAAATACATAAAAACTGCCCAATTGTAGTATAATTTCAATATCAATTTTACACAATGTGGGGTTCCTCAGGGCTCAATCCTTGGACCCTTTCTCTTTTTAATTTATGTAAACGATATGTCAGCTATGGTCAAAAATAAATTGCTTTTGTATGCTGATGATTCTTGTATCCTTGTATCTGGTAAAAGTTTATCTGTTGTTGAAAAGGCATTGACAGATGATATGGAATTGGTCAGCCAATTGTTAGTGGACAATAAGTTGTTATTGCACTTGGGTAAAACCGAGTCAATTTAATTGGGGTCCAGGCAAAAGCTTAGGTCACAATCTAACCTGCATAAAACCTGTTCTGGTACATCCATTGAATCAACTTCATCTATAAAGTATCTTGGGATTACTATAGACCAAAATCTGTCATTTTGCGCCATGGCCGAGTCTGTTCTTAAGAAGGCCAACTCTCGGTTAAAATTTCTTTACCGCAAGAAAGAGTTTCTTACTCAGCATACCAAGAAACTTCTGGTTATGTCTCTTATTCAGTGCTACTATGATTACGCATGCTCTGTTTGGTATAATAGCTTGACACAGTCTTTAAAATATAAGTTACAAACTTGTCAAAACAAAATAATGAGATTTGTACCTGACTTGGATTCCAGAGCCCATATTGACCCATCCCACTTTAAGTCCCTTAACTGGTTACCGGTCCACAGAAGAGTTGAACAGATAATGTTGTGTCATGTTTTTAAGATAAAAAATGGCCTGTCTCCGGATTACATGTTTGAACACTTTATTTCGCAAGATTCCGTACATAAGTATAGTACAAGACTAAGTCAAAAGGGTGGGTATTGTCTACCTAAGGTCAAAGGTCAGGGTTCTAAATCCTTTGCTTTCTCTGGTATTAAATTATGGAATGATTTACCTGTCGAGTTAACGGAGATCAACAGGTTACAAAGTTTTAAGGTTGCCATCAAAAGTCATCTTATGAACAGTACTTGATTTTTTTACTATGTTTTTACATATTTCGGCTCAGGATTTTAAACTGTCTGCAATTTTTCTTTTTACAATTTTAGTAATGTGTTTTAAATCCTAGCTGTAAACAGGAGTATCATTAACTCAAGATTTGACTGTGATATACATTTTTATGATTTATTAGTATTTTTAAACATGATTATATTTAGGTCTGCCTCTCTATGTCATGCCGCCAATACAAAGGACCACAATGGAAATAAGAGCTTTTTTGCCCCTTTTTGTGTTATCCTTGGTTTTGATAAGCATGTCATAGTTTTCTCGTATGTGATATAGTATTTAATAATGCTCATTATTTTATCCTAATAAGATAGATGTTATATTGTCAACTATGTATATGCTTCCTTTGCCGAAAAAAATCTATCTATCTATCTAACCGTACAGTTTCTTTGCACCTTGTTGTAATTTTCCTTAACTCTTTTCACAAAATTGTCAAATAAATCTCCAAAACATGTACAGGATAGTTGGCTGAAAAGTCCAAGTAGGGCAAACTAATGTTATTTTTAAAAAACTAAAGACGCCAGGGAGATAATCAGATGCATTTTCCTAAAATTTGAATTCTACCTAAACTATTCAACAATAAACACATTAAGATGGTTATAAAGAAGGTTGGTTATAAAGAAGGTTGGTTATAAAGAAGGTTGGTTATAAAGAAGGATGGTTATAAAGAAGGATGGTTATAAAGAAGGTTGGTTATAAAGAAGGTTGGTTATAAAGAAGGTTGGCATACCAGATTGACGGATGCTGGTAAAGAGGCTGCTTTCTTTTCATGTTGGATTTTTGTTTGTTTGTTATCGTTTGGTAATGCTGGCTTAAAATTTGGTTTGATAGGCGTCTTCTTCTCTGGAGGCTTCGTACTTGCTGGTAAATATAATATGATCAATTATGGGAAACGATATACATGTGTGTTGGACAGTATAACAGCTGGTATGGCAGAAATTGTGACTACTGCCTCGCGTTGGTAAGTCAAAATAAGCATGTATTTGTAAATGCAAAATTTGTGAAGAGCAATACATATATTTTTTTTCAATCAACATGAAGGAAACAAAAGTACATATTATATCAATTGAAAATGAAACATATTGAAATGTAAAATACGTATTTCTTGATCATCTGAATGTAAAAAGAGTAAAGACGAGCACTAGATATGATTATTTCTAAAAAGTCTATTTTTTTATTCATATACTCATTTAACACAGGTGTTGTGGAGCTGATAAATGTATGCGTATATTACAGATTGCATTTAAATAACACTGTAAGAAAACAATTCGTACCAATTTTACTGAAATAAAATAGAAAAAAATAGCGCCCTATTGGCACCCATAAAATATGTCTCTTGTCAAAACAGGCCATGTGCTTTACCAAAACAACAAGCACCTTGTTTAAAAAAAGATATTGTACAAAACATATGTCGTGTTGGAAGGCAAGTGCCGTGTCCAAAAATAAACACATTTACAGAAAAGAGTGCTATCTATAAGATACAAAGAAAGAAAGAAAGAGTACCTGGTGCCGGCATAGGTGGTCGGTTATCTAACATTGATTCATCTATAGTTGTATAGTCTTTCTCTATAAGTATAGGTACAGTAAGATGAAAACATTATATAATACAATCAACTTTATTTTTCTGCATCTGGAGTAACTTGACTTAAATCATGGAACAAATGAAACACCTTAGGAATCTTTAGTTTGTATGTATTTATCTTAGTTCGATTGTGCTGGAAGCTATAAGCTTATTGAAACCCTCTCGAATCCGTTCCTGAAACTAACAACTAGTTAGCAATGAGTGTAAAGTTTCTTGCTCAAAGAAACAAGGGCTTGCCGCTGACGGGGTTTGAACCCACGCTGTCAGCAATCCTTAGATCACTAGTCTGACGCATTAACCACTCGGCCACGTCGTTACTGAGTCCAAATAATTCCTGTAAATAATATTTTGACACAATACAAATACAGGTATGTGGAAGGCACCACCTGTACATTGGTAATCAGTCTTTATCATTTGTTGAAGATACTTTTACATACCCTGCTGAAGACAAAATATGAAAAGTCTTTGCTATTAGTACAAATCTGAACATACGTGCAGTCAGAACATGCCGTAAAACTGTCAGTTTTGTATTTTGATTTTGAAATTTCTAATTCAATGGACGACCTGTTCCCAATTCAAATCTAGAAAATTCCATAACACAACTGTGGTAGGTTAATATATAATGTTATATTAGGTCACATACCTCCCCCTGGATCATCATCATCATCTATTTCTTCTTCTTCTTCATCATCATCATCAACTGGTAACTCTGGTACCCGTTTACCTTTCTTTCCATTAGACTTTTTATCTGGTTCCCGTTTAGCCTTTTTTCCTACAGATGCATTTTCTATTACAGGTTTCTCAATGTAAACATACTCGTCCCTGTTCTCATCTGTCCTGAAACGACAATACAATAAACCATGTGCCCCAAATACAATAAACAAAAATTCAAACTTTTTTCTTTACAAAATCCCCGAACTAACTTCAATGTTATCAGAGGGGATAAAAATTTTACTTTTGAATCGCTGTTGACAATTTGACTAGCCTTTAACTTTTATTATTCCTGGACAATAGAACTTTTCTATAGATTTTACTTTATATTTTATAAAAGAAATCTCAGTTGATATGTTTTTCTTACATCTTCGATTTAGACTTTATTCATTACTTTTATTTACAGTATTTGATTATTAGTGTATTATTAAGTTATATTTTACTTACTTTTCTGTTACTTTATGAGCTTTTACCATTTCAGCTTTTAAGGATTTCATCCATTCCTACAATGATATTTAAAACTTCATGACCAATGTACTTCCATGAAGGCGAACCATTTATTCTACCAAGTTTTATGTCTGTTAAAAGTTTAGATTCATGAATGCTTCCCTCCCCCAAACGAAACGGTCCGAATGCTAATAAAGACCACGCCTCTCTTTTGCAATCAAGCCTTTTTATTGCGTGAAAATATTTGAAAATAATCAAAACGGCTTACATAATGGGTTTGTCTATTATTTAAATTATTACTGACGCATCTACTTCGATATTCTTATACAGTATTTCAATGTCATTATTTAACATTCATCATAATTCAGACATGACCAATACAATTCATTCTATAAAATCTATAAAATGATGTGCAACACAACACACCAGTATGGCAAGCAGGGCGCTAACATGATTTTGAGAAGACGATTTGTGTCTCGTTCTTGCACCAACACGCCAAAGTCTCATTTGTGGTATGCGTATCAAGTTTTGCCTTTTATTTGCAGTTCTGTCCCTTGAGAACGATGACAAATTCTTAAATCGACATGATGCGGGACTTACCCGCAATGGCAACATACTGCAGTCACTACCATATAAGTAATTATTAGGTTTATATTTTCAGATAACATTACTTCAAGTTAAATAATCTAAAATTGACAATAAAATGTGTTGTATGTGCACGCATTACAATATATTATTGCACGAATACTTCCCTGTAGATACAAAAACATCTACCATTTTCTTTGAAGCTTGCTGTATAATTTTGCGTGATCAAATAATACATATATCAGTCTGATTCAACATTATATTAATTGAAAGGTTCCGCTGCAATTCATTAGAATAAAATGTAAATACGTCAGTGTAAATTTAAGTAGTCACATAAATGAGCCGTGTCATGACAAAACCAACATAGTGCGTTTGCGATCAGCATGGATCCAGACCAGCCTGCGCATCCGCGCAGTCTGGTCAGGATCCATGCTGTTCGCTATCAATTTCTCTACTTGTAATAGGTTGTTAAGCGAACTGCATGGATCCTGATCAGACTGCGCGGATGCGCAGACTGGTCTGGATCCATGCTGGTCGCAAACCCATTATGTTGGTTTTGTCGTGACGCGGCTCAAATCATTTTACTTATCGGATGAGTCATAGCGTTCTGGATATATTGCGACTATTAAATTTATTTGTAATAACAAATTTTATTTTATGCCTTTTGTGGTAATTTTCAAGCAATTCCCTTTTCAACAGATATTGTGTCTATAAAAGAGGACTTCATTATGATTAAACAGTCATATGTGACAACTTGAAACAACACGATATTTAATGGTCACTTAAACTTATAAACTACAGTTGTATACAAACATTTCTTCTGTTTGACTATCAAACGACACAACTGAATTAATTAAGTGCTTATAAAAAGGTTGAGAAAACTATGATTTCTAACTTGAAATTAATAAATAAGTCAGCTAGTATAGTTGCCAATAAAGGAAACAAAAATGTACTCATTCTCGTCTTACAGCAAATGAAAAAAAAACTATATTCTCAAATACGGGTCTTCCTATTTGCTAACAATATAGAAGTATTGATCTTCACTGAAATGCCATCATTTATTCATTCGTGATCGTAAAAGGCGACTGAATGGGATTGAATATCTGGAGTCTATATGCATCTCTTAGAGTTTCGTTTATAACACCCAAGGTTAGCACCTCAAAAAACGTCTTTCCTGTTCGGCGCAAAATGATCTAAATTGTGTTGGTGGAAACAAACAAACAACCAAAAACAACAACAACAACAACAAATAAACAACAAAACAAAACAAAAAAGACAACAACAAAAATGAAAAACTTTCTTCAATAAAATCTGTTAATACGGCACATAATTGATGAAGAACTTCTGTGCAGAGTCAAGAGAGACCAAAGGCTGTTTCAACGTGGTATGTAGGTATGTACAAGTCAGGAATCAGTTTAATTTATTGTAACATTTGATCAAACCGTATCACATGTAAAAAAAGAATGAATTACTAGGTTAGCATCATTATGTTCAAGAGTGTAATACCCGGTAGTCGTGCAAAAGTATTCATGATGCACCAGCGTACCGGATGTGCATATCAAGTAACGTAGGAATGTGAAAATAACGCACGAATTGTGCAATATAAACGCAGAAATGTACAATTCTATAGCCGAAACTAGCACCATGGGAAGGAAATGGAATAATATAATTTGTAGTCAATCAAATTGACAGAAATGATTTAGCATATAAGGTTATTTCAAACTCATTTGAAACTATTTCCAGGAAGGTGCTTGCTTTTTAAGAGAATGACAACCTGGGCGACCTCTCGTTTTATATTACACTGAAATTAGCAGAAAAAATGTGATTGACACGATTTTAACGAGGCAATGGCGATTTTGTGATTGCTATATATGTAAAGGTACCTTTTTTATCTGCTTCCTTTTAGTATTATATGACTCTAGAAGTTAGGGAAATGTCTAAGGTATACTAAATAGCAAGACAATGAAATTTAAGTCGGTTTTTATTTACTAAAATAGTCCAGTTAATGTTAAAGTCGACCTCATAACTGTAGTCAGGTCGTCATTCTCACGAAAGATCTTAAAATAGACATATTCTTTGTAATATTGATATGCTAGTTAAAATAAAATGTTATGACAGCCGCATGTGCTTATTCGTTTCCTTAATTTGTATAATTGTAAACAATGGCCCGGTTTTCTAACCGTGTTACACCGTTCGGGTATAGGTTTTCACAAATCGTACACAATTCCCACGTTACTTGATATACACTGTGTACATGGTAATATTATAGGCATAGTAGTGTGAAACAGGAATTTACAATGCCGTTGTATTTATCAGTCACCGTACATCGTATCATCTTTTCACACGAAACAACGTTCTTGTGATGTGAATGATAATATATATCGGAGAAACGTAAAATATTGTAATATATATCATTTTCCAACTCGTAAAATAGTCTACAATGTCCATACAATATTGAAGTTCCAGTGATGCTCGTGTTTATTTGAAGCTTTTTTGTTTTTTTTTATATATATACATAATATTTTTTGGTTGGAATTTGCATCATATTAACCCTTTACGAGTTAAATTGCGACTTTCCACCTTTACCGATTAAGGAAGACCTCAGGTGCCTCTACTCGCATTATTTCAAACACGAGCGGATCCCTCCGTGCATTATTTTAGACACGACCGGCATCTGAGTAGAACCATCGACATTCCATACGCTAGCTGGATAGCTTTCTCTCAAAATGATTTCATTACTTAAAACAAAATACAGTGTATAATATTGCATGTATATTTCGATACCGATTATCACAAACCTCATTCATAAAGCTTAACTTTGGTAAAAAAAACCTCTCAAAAACAAATACATTTTAAAACATATCAAGTAGGTTGATCTAAGATTGATATAATATAAATCTATTGATCAATATGTAATCAATTTGAACTTAATTTTATAGCAGGTACAGACAAAAAGTATGAGTACGTGCAATTCAGTACCCGGAAGACATTTGCAACCAAATATACATTCACATGTATCTACTGACGGGACAATTACCTAAATAGCATGTTAGAATAATTTGTGGCTTTAAAGAAGACCCATTGTGAAAACAGTGTATCTTACACGGCTAATAATATACTAAACGGGTATGAAAAATTGATGTTGAATCGACTTAATGTTAAAATGCAAATGTGATTCGAACGCCATTTTACCTTCCTTTCCTGCTCGCTTATACAGGAGAACAGAAGTGATTTCCCGCCTTCCTCTGCCGGGAATATACAGAAAGACCATCTAACACTCCCGTCATCATTTCGTGACAGTCTGAATATAACAACAATATATATGTAAGGATTTGATTTTTGATTCTTTACCATATATATAACAACAATATACGATAAGGATTCTATTTCATACCATATAACAACAATATATTGCAAGGAGTTGATTTATAATTCTTTACCATAATCCGTCGGAAAAAAGCAAACTTAACTAAATACTATCAATACAGTCATTAAATGAAACTTACATAACTACTATTTAGATGTTTTGCTTTTTGAAAGACCGGCTGAATAAAAAGATGCATGTTGTATATATATATATATATGGTGTTAAATAGGAACTGTGTCTGACATCGTTTGTAACAGCAGCAACACAATAAATGTTCAGATGCTTATATTAGCAATGAAGTGAAATGTGGAAATAGTCATGATTTAACAATTACTGCTTCCACAATATATTGTATCAGAACTAGTAAAAAGGCGTTAAAGAACTATTCTAGATGTAAAACTTAGTTGACTTTAGACAATTCTAAATTGAAACTGATATGGGATGACAAGGTTGGCAATATTTGCACCCAAAAATACCTTAATCACCGTATATATTCTGTAATGAAATAATTCAGGATTTGTGCAAAAACGCATCAAATTGTTCAAATGTATGGCAAAAATGGAACAAGACGGCCTAGTATAGGGATTCGTATCTTAAAGCGCATACAGTTACTTTAACCATCATTTAATATTTCCAGTAAATGCTTTCGTAAGAAAAAAGATCTTGATGAGAATTCTTTGTGATACATCAGTGTACATGTGTACAATGACATTGACTCTGTGCTTCATTTACAAATTCGGCTTTACCTCAAACCTTTTAAAAAAGTGGCATGGTGTTATTTATCTGCTTCTGTCAGACCTAGTTAGGTAAATACATGAAACAAAGTATCACATTGGTTATTACAGAAATAAATATCAACGTAATACAAAACTCGCAATCACATTTAGTTACAGGCTTTTCTCCAGCTGAACAATTCTTAGGAAATATGACGCTTGACCATCAAAATGTTTCCTGATTACTAACAACATGGATCTGCCTACATATTTCATATTGTAAATCACTGTGAATTCCCGCGTGGTAAGCGTAAATGTGGTGAGTTTGTATATGATCAACGGACATTTGCCCATAATCTTAGGACATGCTTGCAAATAACAAAAATAAAATTAAGTGATACATTTAGTGTCAAGGTGATTATTTATCCGACGGGATTCAATTTGAATAGGATGCATTCGTACTTTATGGTAAGGAATTGTTCTAGAACCTTTTTCATGAATATGATAAAAAGAAATTGAAATTTGCCGAGAAACACATGGGATACATGTATGTACGGTTTACAGTTTATATATCTGTACATATATAATAAGGTGACTTATAGGCCCAACGGGCAACGTGTTTTTTGTATGTATTCTTATCATGTATATATAAGCAATAAATCTGCTATCTAAACTTGTTCTAGTATAATCTGGTGAATATTACCTTAGAAATAGCCGCAGACTATACGACATCTGAGGACAAGATGCCAGCTCGTCTTTGAACACATAGATACACCCTCTTGATAGAACAACAAATTTCTGTCGCCCTTAAAGTGTATAAAGCTATATATATATCTGATAACTGAAAAAAATTATCATTGTAAAATTAAATTTATACCCAAGTGAAATTCGGTAAGAATATCTGATGTCATATGGAAGACACTTAATTATTTGTAAACCTTCTCCGCAGTTTAAATTGTTTTGTACATTTATGCTATATACTGTCTTGCCATATATAATGCATTGTATATACTCATGGGCTATATAGCCTTATGGAATAGTGAAAATAAACTTATTTATCTGATGCAAAAATTATTGTTTGAATTTTAAAAAAAGTATACCTCGAAAATGCGTGTATAAAATAAATATAGTAATTTATTGCATTAAAAGCGAATTGTGCATGCACAATATCATTGCTAAATAATTAAACGGATAAAACCCTACACAAAATAGCAAAATAATATTTTGTTCCGCGACATTTAATTCTGTTTACGTACATAATTCAGGTATGTTAAATAACAGAGACATTCTATGTTACAACTTTTCCGCGAATCAACCACCAGTCTAATGTTACTGTGGATACATTTTATTGATATAGATTTATATCCTTTGAATAGTTAAAATTGTTAAAATAGAATAAACATGTATATTGATATCAATAGTTGAGAGGATCAGAATAATCTTTTTAGAATTGTCAGGGCGCAAAGTTTCGTTATGATCTTTTAAAATGAATTACAAAGAAACGGTGTTAGTCAAAGGAAATAACTTCCCAAACACCACGATACTAAAAACTTACATTTCAAGAATTTGAAAAGTCTTTCGAGCGATCCTTGTTTTCTAAGGAAACCAGACTTTTGACAATGTCCTATACACAGCAAATCTTGTGCCCCTGTAAATATATACGTATGATTTTTATATATCCACATATTTAATGCGTTCTTTAGCATATGAATGTATAAAACTCTTAGAAAGAGATTTAACAATATGATTTGAAAGTGAATTGATCTATAATGAAAGGTCTGTAATACAATAAATTATTACGTTGATAGTATTTGATATCAAACATAACAACAAACCACGAAAGAATTGCAAATGTGCATGGAAGTTTTAGGAATGGAAAGTATGAGATACATTATCTTATATTGCATATATCTATATATAGCAGATTTGTTCCAGAACAAAATATAATTATTCATCAAAAATGTCCATACTAAATCACTGGGAACTGTATCTACATTTATTTTGCAAGCATAACATTATAAAGATATCCAAAATGACACGTTTATATTGTTTTTAACAATATTCGGAAGATTTTATGAAAAATGTGTCTATTGTAGATCGATACACTTTAAAGAATATATATCAAACAATTTAAATGTTCTCTATCTCTACAGATACAACATTTAACTACAAAGTTCTTTCAAAATTCATATGTGGTCCAACAATTTTACTGTCACTTTACAAGATGCATATGTATTTTTTATACAATAAGTATTCAACTCTTAACCCGCATGACACGAAAGCGATCAGTTTGTATACAGCCAGGTCAGATTGACCAGACTATTGCAAGCCTGACCAGACTATTGCAAGCCTGACCAGACTATTGCAAGCCTTACCAGGCTATTGCAAGCCTGACCAGGCTATTGTAAGCCTGACCAGACTATTGCAAGCCTGACCAGGCTATTGCAAGCCTGACCAGACTATTGCAAGCCTGACCAGGCTATTGAAAACCTGACCAGGCTATTGCAAGCCTGACCAGACTATTGCAAGCCTGACCAGGCTATTGCACGCCTGACCAGGCTATTGCAAGCCTGACCAGGCTATTGCAAGCCTGACCAGGCTATTGCAAGCCTGACCAGGCTATTGCAAGCCTGACCAGGCTATTGCACGCCTGACCAGGCTATTGCAAGCCTGACCAGGCTATTGCAAGCCTGACCAGGCTATTGCAAGCCTGACCAGACTATTGCAAGTCTGACCAGACTATTGCAAGCCTGACCAGACTCAGACCAACCTTACCAGACTCTCCAACCTGACCAGACTCTTGACAGCCTAGTTAGACTTCTGCCGGACAGACCAGACTCCTGCCAGCCTGACCAGACTCAAGCCAACCTGCCCAGTTTCTTGCCAGCCTAATTAGACTCTTGCCAACCTGACTAGACACAGGTCAACCTTACCAGACTCTTGCCAACCTTACCAGACTCTTGCCAGCCTGACCAGATTCAAGCCAACCTGACATGTCTCTTGCCAGCCTGATTAGACTCTTGCCAAACCTGACCAGACTCAGGTCAAACCTGACCAACCTTGCCAACTGACCAGACTCAAGCCAACCTGACCAGACTCTTGACAACCTTACCAGACTCTTGCCAACCTGACAAGACTCAGGCCAGCCTGACCAGTCTCTTGCTAGCCTTATTAGACCTTGCAAACCTGACCAGACTCAGCCAACCTGACAGACTCTGCCAGTCTAATTAGACTCTTGCCAACCTGACCAGACTCAGGCCCAACCTGACCAGACTCAGACCAACCTGACCAGACTAAGACCAACTGACCAGAATCAAACCAACCTGAACAGACTCATGCAAACCTGAACAGACTCAGGCCAAACCTGACCAGAGTCAGACCAACCTGACCAGACTCAGGCCAACATGACCAGACTCAGACCAACATGACAGACCAGGCCCCTGCCAATTTTTAACCCCAACCTGCCAGACCTTAAACTTTGGTAGCCTTTTGATTGAATTTCCTACATTTGTAATCTTAAGTTTTCAAACCAAAGCAAGATCTAATTTTCATAAATTCAGCCTGTTCAGCAAGTTCATTCATTTTTAACTTAAAGCCAAGGTAAAGCAATATTTATTTTAAGAATAATATAGTTTTAAACCGTAAAATGTAATATTCATGCGGGGTGATACACAAAAAAGAAAAGATAAATTTAATGCATGGTAGGTTGGTGCGTAATATTTCTCCCAAAAGCTTTGAGGTTTTGTGTCTCTCGTTTTGGGTTAAATAGATTGTGTTGAAAAAGTACAAAAAATGGTAAACCAGCTACTTTTTAGCTCAGTGTATTATTGTTTGAAATTTGAAAAAATCTAAAAATCAACCGATATCAAACCTGTAAATATGGTAAAAATTGCTTTTAAGATAATTTGTACAGACTAATTGAATATCTGGTACACTTTCGAAAAAAAAACACGAAAAAAAACCCACCCACAATTATTCAGCAGTGGTTAATTTAGAATGTGTTGAAGCATTATTTAAGAGTGCATATTAAAATATAACTTCCCTTTATTACATAAACTAGTCACTTACACCATGACCTTATAGTAAAAGCTTATTATTTAAACATTTTATCAAATGCTCTGACAAGATATAATCAACAGATGATTAAAAGGACAAAATTTCTGCCAAAAACTAGCGCATGAAAAACTTCCTTCTTCAATGATAATCTATGAATAGATTCGGATTAAAAAAATACATGTAGCAACCTAATTAAATTGAAATGGACATACACATTGAACCATTCATTGTTCATGCCAAAGAAAAGAACATAGCTTTTATTTTCGTTGATTTTCCTAGTTTTTTTTTCGTATACAAAATGCAATTTCAACGTTATAAACCAAGTATATTTCAACACATTCCCTAAATGTAACAATGGAAATATATTAAGCATTATTATGCTGGTAAGAAACATCAACAAAAGTTAATAGTTTAAAATGAAGAGTAAGATATTAGAGGAAATATGCCATCCTTTTTTTCTCCATTTTATAGTCAAAGAATACATAAACTAACAAAATGGGATAAAGCAATTTACTTTGACTGTTGAAAAGAAAAATAGCCCTATAAAAATAACAACATATACCCCCTAAAATAATTAAAAGAACAATAAACAACGACAAAAAAAAAGAAAGGGAAAAAGCAAAACAATGAAAATTATTTAACTTAACAAATATGTACCAAACAATGTATCTTAAAGATTGTACACGTGGAAAAGTTTTGGTTATTCCAAGACTGTTGAAAAAGGCTAACAGAAAAATAGACGGCCACAACATCTTGAAAGTTTAACAAATATTCCAATAATGCTGTGTAACACCGCCCTTTCGGTCAATACGCACTTTTGGGGTCCGACCCCAAAGTGCGTTTAAACTTCGCAACCGCACTTTGGGGTCCAACGCACTGGTTTGGGGGGTCCCAAAACGGAGAAATTGACCCCCCAAAGTGCGTTAATATGCTAATATCAAAGCACTTTTGGGCAAGAGGGTTTTTAATTTTATCGATTCGTTTAAAAACGAGTACTGATTTTTTTCTATCGCTCATTGGAAATTTTAGGGGGAGTTTTAAGATGGGGGTCCAAAAATTTATAAAGCTTAATTAAAAAGGGCAATTTAAATTTTTAAACTAAAAATCTAAAAAATTTTGGGCAATAACAAAATTCGGTTAAAAAGTGACAAATTTTCATTTTTGTTTTTTTTTTGGGAAAATAAATTTTTTTTTATTTTTCATACATTTTTTCGTTTTGCATTTTTTTTTTATTTTTTTTTTTCCCCAAAATTTTATTAAATTTTTTTTCTTTTTTTACCCAAACAAAAAAGCCCTTTAAATTTTTAACAGCCCCAAATTTGGGATTAAACAGCCAGTGGTGGGCAAATTTTGCCCATTTTTGGAAAAGGCCCGTCGTTTTTGGCCCGGGGAAATTGGGGTTTTGGGCCCACCCTCCGGGCCAAATTTTTTTTTTTTATTTGTAAATTTAATAATTATTGTTTTTTTATTTATTACTTATTTAGGTTCTAATTGCGAAAGGGCGTTATTGGTAATCATTTATTATTTCCATGAAATTCACCACCAACCTCCACCCCTGAGAAAGAAATTAGAAACTTAGGTCAAATTCCTTAGCAAACCCAAATGCGAGAACTTATAGCCAGGGTGTCCGGGCCAAGCGGGGACAATACAGGTTTCAAAGGATAAAGAATTGGTTCAAGCCGCTCCTTATCTCCGGGAAACCCAGGAATGATTTTAAGGCACCTTTTACAAATCGTTAACTTCATCGCGACCATAGCAGCAATTTCTTTGGTTACCGCGGATACTAAAATTCTAATTTTTTTGAATACCCAAAAAGAAAATGTGGTATTTACAAATGCATTGCCAAATGGGTACTTAATTTAACAAGATGTTCGAAGTTTTGAAAATGGTGTTTAACAAATGGTGTAATTATCCAAACTCTACTTTGCAAATGGCGTCATGTAAAAATATTACAAACAAAAAAAATATGTACAAAAAAACTAAACTAAAATTTGTATGCAAACTAAAATAGAAGATGTATGCAAACTAAAATAAAATGTGTATGCAAACTAAAAAAGAATATGTATGCATTACTAAAAAAAGTATGTATTCAAAACTAAAAAAAAATATGTACGACAAACAAACAAAACATATTTACGAAAAACAAAAACAAAAGTATAAAAAAATACAAATGTCACTTTTATGCCCACCGTTCAAAATACCTCTAGTACAAAAATTGTGTATTCCTAGAATTAAAAGATCTGCGAAAAATATCCCATTCTGTCGGTCATTTACTTGATAAATTTTGGTGCCATATTGAGCCCCAATTTAAATTTAGTGCTCGCCAATATTTTTTTAAGCCAATCACCGACGAGGATATATTCAAATTTTTCAGGTTTTCAAATCTTAATAGAACAGATTTATATATAAACTGGACGTTTTATATTATAAAACGCAAGGGCGGAGCTAAGTTTCGAAGAGCGCCTAAAGTGAAATATACGCATGTGCAGAGATCTTGAAGTTTTACTCCTACTAATCAATATTTATGCATCATGTTTTTTCCGTACACGCGCTACGGCATAAAATTAAAAAAAGAGGTTCATTGAAATGAAAACAGGCAAAATAACATTAAAAATGTTTTATTACTTACGGAACCAGTATCATTTTTATAATTTCCAAATAAAAATTCACTTATTCCAACAAAGTATGTATGTCATATTTCTTATTTTTTATGTAAATATTACAGCCCGTGCCGCTGCACAAACCGAAAGTAGGTGCTTTTATTAATTTTACATTTATTTTGACAATATACTGCCATTGTCCGAAGATGATATGTATATGAACATAATAATATGTATGATGCAATATAATCAAGCTACAGGTTATTTCAGCCCGAAGGATATGTCGAGGTGACGGGGGCGAGGTGACGGCGAGGCAAGACATGTCGACTTTTTGTAGCTAGTACATGAAAATCGGCACATGACAAATCAGCACATAAACAAAATATTCTAGTGTTCGTGGTATACATCTTTTCTACGTGTCATAACTCCTTTCCCTATTACAATGAATTTTTACTGCATTGTTATCCATCGCTGGTTTGTTTTTAGCAGAGAATACCTGTGTATGTTCAAAGAGGGTACCGTTTGAGAATATTTCGCAAAGAGGGTACCGATATGGATATGCACCGTGATATTGTCTGATTTACCTAGACAGAATGCGGGAATAAGCTATGCAAAACACGTGACCCGAAAATGTGTACCGCTACCTCTTCCAAATATGGTTATACACATTTAAGCCATCATGTGACGTCACGCAGTGTGTTGGGCGGAAAAAATGGGCGGAGCACTAAGCCGGTTAGAGTGCATATTGGATGTTCTTCGTAAATAAGAAAGCTACAGTCGCTTCGCAAGCTCCGCTCCTTTTTAGCTTTCTTATTTACGAAGAACACCCAATATGCACTCTAACCTATACATGTTGGGAATGAAATAAAATGCAGTTAATATTTGTTTTCCAAAGAACTATAAATATACTTTATTGCAATGTTCTGGTGAAAAATCAAGTTTTTCGATCGGACTATAAATAGTGATTTTTACAAATACATTATTAAGCTTATCAACAAACTTAAGGGTTTTTGTAAGCTCCTAACAACCGTTTTATGGGAAATCTTACATACTTCTTTAGAAAGAGCAAACATGAATTTTATAATGTTAAAATAATGGTATCAGAGAAATGTAAGATGCTTGTTATCTGAATAATATAGCGATAACTGTAAAATTATTCGTCATAAAGAAGTCAAAACACTGTAGTATTTGACTTCCATATAAAATACTAATTCACCATAACTGTACTCATCATTGCCAAAAAGCAACAGATAAAAAAAGATGGTTCAGGTAATTGACCAATGTGTATTTTTTGGATAATATAGAAGAACATCAAAATAAAAAAGCTTTAAAAAAATGAAAGCATAATGGCCTTTAAAACGTTATTTTTAACCCTCGGGAGATCGATACCCCACAATCCCCTCTATACCCCAGTGAGAATTATACATAATTCTGAAGCTGCGACTACTTAAATAGTTGATAGTTTTAGTACGGACTACTACTTAAAGCCGAATCTACACCTAGTCAATTTTCTTATATGTCACATTAGCTAAAATAAATGACCAGGCAATTTTTTACTGAAATGTCTTACTAAGATTTCCCAGAATTTATAACCTTTGTCTATGCTAAGACTTTCATATTTCTTAAAAATGTGTAAATAAAAAACGGGAAAATAATGCATTTACCTAAAAACAATGTAGTTAATGAAAGTTGTACATTCTTTTAAAATACATGGAAAAATTTGAGAAAAAATATTTTAAGCTTAATAATTGATACAAATTCTTTATTTGGTGATTTATTTGTTGAAAGTTCTTCACTTACTAATCAAGACCATTTAAATTAAATCCCTATTGATTCTACTATAATTCAGGGCACATGTTTGTGTCTATTTAATACCTTGATTTTTATGTTTACCATTGGCTTTGACTGCAATATATTATTTAAAACATAATGTACATTAATTTTCTATGACCCCAAAGTGCGGTCGTTTGCCTGATGTTAGAAAATGCATATGTACCTGTTTAACGCACTTTGGGGTCGAAATTGGACCCCAAAGTGCGTAACGCACTCTGGGGTCGGACCCCAAAGTACGTAACGCACTTTGGGGTCGGACCCCAAAGTGCGTTTGATCCCAAAGTGCGGTGTTACAATGCTGTTTGCCTATTAAGGAATGTGTTATTTAAATCCCTAATTAAAATGTATTGATAGGCAGTTATAAATTTTATCAACTAGAATAGATCTATAAGATACATAGTACTTTACAATGATAATTATCATGACGATAATTATAATTATCATCAACATTATCTTCATTAACACCGTAAGATTGAACTATTAAAGCCTTACCTATGGTAGTTTGTGGACTGTCGAGAATTTCGCTTTTTCTGGAAGCCATTTTCACATCAGTTATAAAAGGAATATAAAATATTTATACCCATGTAAGCGATCGTTAGATATATGACGTTTTAAGTTAAGTAGCACTTGGTATATTCCAAATGTAACACAATATTAGCCGCGCTTTGTCAACAGTAATGCATATTATGTTTATAGTTCCTTGATCAATATGACCAATATAACTTATAAAATCTTATTTATGAATCACTTTATTTCCTTATCCACTTCAAATCCTCTCTATATAAATAATTACAACTCAGCACTTATACCACAGTATATCATGTTTATTAGATATATACACGGTTATATATTGAAATTAACCATATGCAATAACAAAACACATTATTCTTGCATTATTTCTAATACATGCTATACTTTACACATCTACCCAAAACTACCTGTCTATGTCAAAACTTCGATTTTATCCGAACCTTAACTGATACGTTAGAAATAAAATCAACAAGATTGTTTAAACGACGTGCACACTAAATCCGATTTTGTAAACGCTATATAGTTGCATGTTGACTGAAGAAACTTCCTGGTCTAGCTAGGGTATTACCTGTACTAGTCCAATGAAGTATTGTTATAAAGTATTCTGATTGCGCTCAAAAGTAAATAAAAAAATTATAATGCAATACATAGTACAATATGATAGTCTTGTTTTACATTGCGTTTTAATGAGATATAAGTACTATTTACAGTTATAAATACAGTGCCCTTTTTATGCTATTTAATAAGCGTGATTTTATTTAAAGGCACATTATGCATCAGGAATCTAGATCCACGTATTTTTAAGTGTTTAGAAATATCAAATATGTGTTTATTAATATTTTGATATTGGATTTATAGCATATAAGATGTTTAACAACTAAAAAGATGTAGCGCTTAACGTGACTTTATGTGTCATACAGGTAGAAAAATGTAAACAAAATAGTGCAGAATACAAAATACTTATTCTCTATAATTATATCAATTGCCATCAGAGCAAAGAAAGCAAAAGATTGTTCATCTATGTGACATATGAGTATTTTTGAAACTGTAAAAAGATACTAAGAATAAAAAGTTTTAATAAATCAAAATGAGTACATTTTTTGAGGCATGGCAGGCCTTTAAACAAATTTTGATGTTGATTCTCACAAAGGTAAAACAATTATCCAAATTTCACGTTTAAAGCTGCACGCCTCCAGACGAGCCTCCATATTTCGATAAAATCAAACCTGAGAAAAATGTACTAAGATTTTAGGAAGGGTATAAAGATTTAAAATTCTAGTAAAAAATTACATGTTATGTGCGATTAATGACTGGATTTTTCAGTACTTATAACTATATTTCTACTGCGTTAACGCTAACGACTAACGCAGTAAGGGCTATTTTTGCATATTTTGACCTCTTTATAATAATTAACATAGGTTGTAAGTGCCATTGATAATGTGTAAATTGCATTCCTTTGGTAACTTTACAATATTATACTATTAAATACATTTTCAAATTTTCATGAAAATTAGCATGAATCTGGAGGCGTGCTGCTTTAATGTCGCTTAATAGTTTCTTAGCGAGAATATTAAATCCTTCTTCATTCTCGTTACATATGATTTATAATCAATTGATCAACTCACAATTTTGAATATCAATAGATGACATTTTTTTCTGGCCCGAAAACGACACCGTAATATGACCTTATATTTTATCAAATGTGTGTGTGCGTGTGCGTGCGTGCGTGCGTGCGTGCGTGTGTGTGTGTGTGTGTGTGTGTGTGTGTGTGTATATATTAACCAGTATAATTGTATCAACTAATCTAGCATTCTTCAATATTGAAATCTGTTTTCGAATTAAGGTTTAAAACGCTATGATATTGCACAAAATATCTTGGACCTATTTCATAGACACACGATTTATCAGCTCAATAAACCAGATAAGAAAAGATTGACGAAGTCTACATAACATATCTCAAATATAATAGGTGGCTGATTTCTATCTTGGCTGATTTCTGCCATTCCGTGTTTTTGTGGCTTCGCAACTCGAAAGTCGGAGGCGAAGACACAATAATATGCTCACTTATCGATTCTTCGACTTTGCTTTTTCATGACGGCGGCACAAGACAGGAAATGGCAAAAATCAGCAACCATACAAATTAAAAATAAAATACATAGCACATTCAAAATTTAGACAATTTTTTTTGCAGAAACATCCTGAGATGTCGATCAGCCAGTGTTATATCCTCGTAACTAACGAGTTTCAAATACTATAATGTTTTATCGCAATGACATAATGTTTCTTTTTTTTGTAATAAAAATAAATAAATAAATTGTTAGCTACCGCAAAAAAAGATATACAAAAGACATCCAATGTTAGAGGCGGATTGTTAATTGTTACCAATATTGATTCAAGATTAAAGGGCTTTTTCAGTAAAAATAATTCATTCAGCGGATGTACCTTTTGATTAAATGAGAGTGAATTTCATTTCATTAATTATCTTTGTTTATATTTTTCATTGAATTTATTTATTTTATTTTATTGATTCCATTTTTTTTTTGCTACTGGGAATGTTCGTTACCACTGCCCCATTAGAGCCTCTGTGAGAAAAAAACTGAATTGATATATACAAGGTGCGAAAAAAACTCTGAAACCGCTATATAGCAGTCGAGAGTTTTTCCTATATGAATCAATGAACAAGAGCTGTCGGTAGGACAGCAACGCTCGACTATTCTTAGTGCTTGATAGTAAAAAAAGCCTTGATTAAAAGGTAAAATTTTCTTAGTAAAGAAAAAGGCAAATTTTTTCTTTAAATCCATATTACAGTTATAAGCATTGGAGAGAGTCCTATTATGCTCTCAAAGAAGAGTATAAAATGTTAACATGTTTCAAAGCCTTATGTCAATGAACTTTGAAAATATTTGAGGTATTACAAAAACTTTAACGTAAATTCTAAGTTGAAAAAGGGGCATAATTCTGTCAAAATGCTTGATAGAGTTACCTCCTCCTGTTTACAGGTTGGGGTCATGATGGTCAACAAGTACATGCAAAGTTTTAAGGCCATATGTCAATAGAATATGAAAATATTTGAGGTATTACATAAACTTTAACGTAAATTCTAAGTCGAAAAAGGGGCATAATTCTGTCAAAATGCTTGATAGAGTTACCTCCTCCTGTCTACAGATTGGGGTTATAATGGTGAACAAGTGTGCAAAGTTTAAAAGCCATATGTCAATGGACTTTGAAAATATTTGAGGTATTACAGAAACTTAAACGTAAATTCTTAGTCGAAAAAAGTGCATAATTCTGTCAAAATACTTGATAGAGTTACCTCCTCCTGTCTACAGGTTGGGGTCATGATGGTAAATAATTGTGCAAAGTTTCAAAGCCATATTTCATTGGACTTTGAAAATATTTGAGGTATTACAAAAACTTTAACGTAATTTCTTAGTCGAAAAAGGTGCATAATTCTGTGAATATGCTTGATAGAGTTACCTCCTCCAGTCTACAGGTTGGGGTCATGATGGTAAACAATTGTGCAAAGCTTCAAAGCCATATGTCAATGGACTTTAAATATATTTAAGGTATTACAAAAACTTTAACGTAAATTCTAAGTCGAAAAAAGGGCATAATTCTGTGAAAATGCTTGATAGAGTTACATCCTCCTGTCTACAGGTTGGGGTCCTGATGGTGAACAAGTGTGCAAAGTTTCAAAACCGTATGTCAATGGACTTTGAAAATATTTGAGGTAATACAAAAACTTTAACAAAAGTGGTTACGCCGACGCCGACGCTCGGGTGACTACAATAGCTCTACTTATTCTTATCGAAAAGTCGAACTAAAAAACTGTACTGCTATATATCAATACAGTTTTTAATTGCTTATTGAAGTGTTCTGAGTATGAACAAAGGAAAAGTTCCAAACCATGCGATAATATCATATTATAGTGTACAGTATATCATACAGGTGTTTTATAACATATCTAAGTAATCTTTGAGAGACTATATTAGATAGTTACAGTACAATAGTAACATACATACACGTACACGTACAGTTACATCAATTGGCAATTATTTAATAACTTTATGTATCATTACACTCCAAAATTGATTGGACAACACCGAAGAAAGAATGCATTCTTTTATAGTTAGATGTTTGTTTATTTTTTTTACATAGTAAGCATCTACGATGGCATAGAGGGGACATGAGAAATATTTTATCTATCACGTGCGCACGCGATGGGGGGACATCAAAATATTTTATCTATCACGTGCGCATGCGATGGGGGACACCGGAAAATATTTAAATACCACGTGTGCACGCGATGGCTACCACGTGCGCACGCTATGTCTACTACGTGCGCACGTATTAGTAGTAACTGTTGCGTGCGCACGTATTAGTAGTAGCGTGCGCACGTAGTAGCTATAGCGTGCGCACGTAGTAGCTATCGCAGTCGCACGTGATAGATAAAATATTTCTAATGTCCCCCATCGCGTGCGCACATGATAGATAAAATATTTCTGGATCCCTCTATGCCACCTTAAGCATCTTATATTAGATGAAAATTACTTAAGGAGTTTTACAATTTGTATAAATTATCATGACGTGATCTTGTCATATATAATAATTTATTTATTGCAAGAATAGTTGTTTTGCATATGAATTTAAAAGCAAAAGAAAAGGGTAGATTATTTTTATATTTAGCTGTCTTTTTACGTGATGACATCGTTCCACATCGACGAACAAGCTTATAATATTATTTCAAAATTATGCTTGTAGATGCTTAACCATGATAATTTGTTAAATTATCTTGCGAGTGTTAAACGTGATACACAACTATATGACATTTATCCAGTCGCACGGAAAAAGGGGGAGTACTCATACACAATTTACTTGTAAAAATCATTATCTTGAATAAGGGAAATAACTCGTGTGGCCTTGTTAAAGTTTTAACTGGCGAAACAAATATTTTCAGGTATTGTCAATTTATTTGTTTTCTTATAAAACCTATTTTACTAATCATTAAATCGGAACAGTATAAAAGACTTGAGTCTTTGAGCAATCCGAACCATATCATTTCTGTTATAAAATAGATTAACTATTAGGAACCAAAACACGGAAAGGTCTTATTAAAATAGAACCGTTACCAGTGTTCGTGAGATATCAAAATCCTCAATGTTATTTGTTTCGTTTCGTTTCGTTTTCGTTTTTACACATAAACTGGAATTTTGAGAATCATATTCTGTCAGCAGTTTCCCTTTAATCACAAACTGTTTCCATTTTAATATCAGTATTTTACCCCTGATTCAGAAAAAAACATGTTAAGAACGAAAACTAAAGAAAACACTCCACAGTATCAAAAATCGTCTATGGTATACGCGGGTATATCTTTAGCTAATAAGATGATAAGTTCATTTATTTTTGCTAGCCAATTAAAAATTTTGAATTTTAATTCAATAAACAGTCGTAACATTTTGTATAAGATTTCATCAGATTTATATCAAACATTTTTTGGCATAACGAAACGTTTAGAAGTATCTTTTCATATGAGGTAACTTAAAATATGGTAAAAAAGGAGGTAAGGATACATGCAGATTCCTATATAACAATAAAATTGCCTTTTCACGCATGGTCACTCTATTCTCATATTTTCATAATGATTCCAAATATGGTTGTGCGTACAAAATACATTCAATGTAAATAATTTCAGAAAAGTAAAGTAATATTTAGGAAAAAAAAAACATATTTTCTAAAGAGGGTAAATTTAAATCAATTTATTGCTACTGAAGTCAACTTTTGAACAAGTTAGGCTTTCATTTTGTTGTTTTTCTTATAAACTATAATGCTTGTAAACTACTAATGCATTTTGTATTTAGCGGATAAGGGATTTTATGTATATATCCACAGATGAATCACAATGCTAATTGCGGCTGTGATTATTTTCTTTCGTTGCTGATTTCAAAAGAATTGATCGAAAAAAGTGTTTGTTTGTGGTCGTTTTACATCATAACGTGTAAACATTGTCTGTGTATAGTATTTTAGCTTATTTTCGATCATTTTCTTTGTCGTTATGTCGGATGTTTGACACACCAAAACCAACACCAACAGATAAATCTCAAAGAAGAGTGCATCAATTTTATTTCTATAGCGATATTTATCATCAAATATATTCTTATTCACATATGCTGGCATGAACAACCTATGTACATAAAACAACTATATTTAACTTTAAAACCCCATCCCAGACAACTTGTTAAGTTGTCTCGGTTATTTTGATAATTTTGCTAAATTTTAGTGGCCCATTATAACATCTCATAGGACTTTGCGCAATATGCACATAGTTATCGATGGGTCAAACGTACATGTATTTGCTTTACGCCCATTTTTGTTTGTTCATTTGGTTTTCATCCAGTTATAGTCTAATTTTCAAAAATAAAGGAAAACCAAGTGATGAATCTATGATTACTTGCAGTTGATGTTGACGTTAGTATTTTCTATATTTAGTTATAATTTCCCTTTTTTATGTTTTTTATTTTTATAGAGCAGTAGTACGGAATGATTTATGTTTTAATGTATTGTAAAATTGTTTATATTTGTACAATAATTGTACAAGTAAAAAAAGTATCTGTTCTATATAACGCAAATGGCGAAACGTCAAAATATATGCACCATCGTGCAATACCATTTTACAGAGTCGCAAAAGCGACAGGGTACGTGAAAAAACTGTAAATTTAAGTTGTTTCATCGTTGTTACTTTCACGATGTCTTCAATGGGCTTTTGTATTGTTTAATTACTTTCAAATTATAGAAATATTGTTAAAATAATCGTTTGGTGTATTTATGTTTTTGTATGTTATATTTATATTGTATATATTTCTGTTGTCTTGGCCATCATGAAGTTATTGTAAATGATCAAACACATTATTCCTGCCGATTTAGCCAAATAAACTGTCCTGTTTAAGTATTAATTCAATTCAATTCAATGAATAAGACAAGAAAGGAATATTGACCAATGAATAAATTTTCGGGTAGGAATCTAACAAGTTTATACAAAGACAAAACATCTGACAAAACAACTCTAATATGGACATTCGATATATGCCTTCTTTCTTCTTTGATTGTCTTTATTTTCAATTTTTAAGAGTACATTTCTACTGTAGATTTCTAAACTATCATTTATCATAAATATAAATAACGTCATACAATCTTTATGTCTACATTTAAATCAATGTACGAACAACAATGTAAACATAACGTATTTACGATTGAGATATTAATTAAGATAGGTAAAATTAATTACACTTAAATAGCTACCGGCTTCATAAATTATTTTTTAAAGATAAGATCTCCAATAACTTCAATTTAATTAGGAAAATATTTTTTGTATGTAATACACAACATTTGAATACATGAATTTATTCTTTTTCTGTGATTTAGACATATGAGAAAACAATTATAACAATGGCAATGAAAATGAGGATTTATGGTATGTATATGTTTATATTTTATTTGTACTAACTTATTTACAAGGATAGGGTAATTTTACAGATGTCTACTTTTTTCAAACTAGTATTTCTTTAAATATTCTGTGATTTTAGATACATATGTAAGTGCCAAAAGCCATATTCTTTCTCCAGGTTTTGTAAACCAAATATCAGCAGCCATTTTTCTGATATCAAAATAACTTTAATTTTTGTCAGGAATGAAAGCTATTAGCGTAAAATAATTTCTTTATCTATTCCTTTTATAACAAGTAAATTGATTATTACAAAATGATATTCTAAATGTATAAATCATTGATATCTAATATCAACAAAGACTGAAGTTGGACGATTGAAATATGCCTAGTATTAATTACGCGTTTCAGAACTTCTTTTAATAATCTTAGAATTCAAACAAGTAGATATGATAGGAACAGAATGGAAAGACAGATAATGCAAACTATATCAAAGCTCTGAGATTGAAGACGAATATCATTTTATTCTAATGCAATGCTGACCATGATTAAAGAATTCGATTTATATTTATCAAACGTCATTTTATCATAGACCTAGTATGTACATATGTACAAATTGAAAGATTTATTATTGTGTTACATTTAATACCAACAATTACAAAACGTTTTCTGTGTAATACTATAAGTTGTAATGTATAACGAGATACATATAAATGTGTAAGTGAAATTAAATTTTCTTCTTCTTCATAACAAGGACAAATAATAATAAAATGATACTCGTCTTCTAAATCATGCAAGTTACATAATATACAAAAAAATTCATTTCTATGTATCCTATTTTTTTCCAAATATGTAAGTGTGAATAAGTGAAGTAAACATTTGCTGGATTTAAGAGCAGCCAATTGCAGGTTTGAAATTCGATTTAAGTAACTGACATATATTATCCAATGTTTTAACTTTTTATGACAGTAAAACGTGTTACGGGTAATTTGAAATACTGCTATCCTGTTGGATAGAAGTGATTTCAAGCACTAATTATTATAAAACAGACTCTGAAATAGCGAATCCATCATTAGTACTTTGTCATTATAAGTACGTTTGCAATTACCTTAACATTTAGCCGTCTGAGCGTAACTGAATATATTCATGTGACCAGTGAAGGCCATTACCAGCCGGCACAACCGTGTCACCTTCATATTGTGCATATTTTAAATTGCCCCAAAGATAAATGTTTTTTTTTCAGATTATGCGTGTATATTCAACAATATTTTTAAAATAATTAACGTGGTAAGGGTTAAAATTATCTTGTAAGATTTCAACCGTAGCTTAATTAAAGGTCCATTTTGCCCCGAAAATGTTTTATTTTTTTATTTCTTAAAAGCTTTTTGGTGTTCTGTTAAAAATTCAAAAATGTTTCTCATTGGCCAATTATCTGGAAATATTTCTTTTGCTTTTTTTTGTTACAGTACAGTATAGTGATAAGGAATTTAGTATATTGTATGGAAGTCAAAGTGTTGTTTACATTATACTACCTTAATGGTATAAAGCCTACTTTCCTTAGGTGACAGTCATCTTACATACTCTGAAACTTTTATTTAAACGTTATAAATATCCTATTTACCCATTCTAAAGAAGGAAAAGTCTATTCATTCCTGAGGCAAAATGTACCTTCAAGGATTGTTACTAAGTTAATTATAAATCTTTTGTTATTCTTCATGCATGTAATCATGTATGAATTCATGTATGTACTTAGTTACTAAGGTTGCATGTATTATAAGCGTTAGTGACGTGCAATAAATATTCGTATTTCAGGTTGTCTGCTGGTCGCGGCTGTATGTCTCACCTTTACTAACGCTGGTAAGTCAGAGCCTACATGTATAAGATTTTAATTTATTTTCTTTTTTAAAGCTTAACTAAGTGAAACAATAAGACATATGAAAATTACAATAAAATCTATAATAAGTTTGAAAATTTTAAACTATGTGATTGAATTGACAATAATGTGTTTGAAATGAACGCAACATTGTAAATAATTCTTTAAATCTATTCTCGTTGAGAATAGGAAACATATTAATCTAGTATTATGTTATCATATCCTAAATTCTATTAAGATTATACATTTAACGAGCCAATATGTAGCAAAAATAATTAAGCAAACTAATAAATCATCACATTGAAATAACTGCTAATAACCAATTCATAGCCATGTCTACGAACATTGCGGACAACCCTCGTATACATGTATGTTAAACTCTAAAACTGTCATATGTGTCAGTAAACTGTCTTTATGTATGGCACTAATTAAATTTTCACCAAAATCTGTATCACTGTTCAGGACACAGCATTATATTGTCATCTGTAAACAATAAAATATCTCAATAATTCTGGTTCAATTTTAGCGGAACCGGAGCTCCCAACGGGTACGACTGCATGGCCGGAGATTTGTCGTGTAATGGCACTGTACAAAACGTGTGACGATGTATCCTTCCGTGTAGCGTGCAGCTATTTGTGTGCGGATGCCGCAGCAAGTAAGTGCTTCATAAGGATTGCAGGAAAAAAAAATATTTATTAAATTCTCAATCATTTTTTGAATTAGTATACACACATAAATCATTTAACGCCACATACTCCAAAACAAACGAAAAGCAAAATATGATCTCGGAAAGTAATGGATAGTTGTTTTTCCGAGATTTTGTCGGAACAGACATGTATAGCAATTCTACTGTGATATGGCATTTATTTATTTTATTTATTTTATTTATTTATTTATTTATTAATTTATTTATTTATTTATTTTATTTATTTATTTATTTTATTTATTTAGGAGGATACTATTACTGTACAGATGCGGATGTCTGTAAAACCTTTTTGAAAATATTTTCATTTTAAGCAACATTTAAGATATCATTGTTAAAAATATAAAGTTTGAAATATGTACATTAACATAAGTATATGGTCTTTTTTATCAACTCATACAATTACGATCTAACTATAATTGTAATAATTCATTCGTAGATTCAGTGTTGACAAGTAGTTTTCTACATACATGATGCACTAAGAAATCTGACCGAGAAGTGATATATCACAAACAATTACTGAGAAACTGATAGACAAGTGATATATGACAAAAATATAATCAAAATATTTATTCATATTACAGGTTGTATAAGCAAGAATATGATATATATACCGTCTAAGGGAAAATGTTATGGAATGACAGTGACGGCCCAAAACTTATGGGCATTTGCTTGGGTAAGATGTTTGTAAAATACTTTTTAGATTACTTAAGAAAAATACATAGACAAGACTGTTTTCAATGAAATAACATGAACAATTTTCACGGACATTAAATATGTATATCTTGAATTTTTGGTTAGTTTCAAGAACAAATCATATTTAAGACTCGTCTGGCGAATAATCCAACCTCACTTTATAAAAATTAAATTTGTTTGTGGTACCAAAGTGAGCAGAATATATTTCATGATTTTTTATTGTTATCATTGAAATTAATAAAACTGCAATTGAGGTATAAAACCTTTAATGATACTAATTGATGGATTTTTACATATTTTATTTTAGGATTCCTGTGAATGGTATGGAACTACTTTGGCCACACTTAAGGACGCTAAAGACGCAGAGGTGTTGGCGTATTTGAAGACTAAAGTCGGTAAGTTTATCTCCAGTTTTAAGACAGTGATTATTAAGGGCAAAATGTCTAAAAACAAAAAAAGTGAAGTTCTTTCATAGATTTTATTGCAAATCACTTATTGACAGGGACATATCTGCTAAGGATAATGAAACAAATATGCTCAGAATTAAAATTAAAAATCGATTTTTGTGTCATTCTTAGCCAAATTGAAGTAAAAAATGTTCAAACGCTTTACATTTTTGGGTCATTTTGCAGAATATTAATGATGTTTCTGGAACATTGGGATTACGAAATATTCTGAAAATTTGCACACAAGTTATTGATATAGGCCTACATCAAAATGTACATTAATCTCGGGAAAAATATTTCTAGTCTTGTCATGCTGGAAAAAACATACAAAAACTCTAAGAGTAAATTTTTCATCAAAAATACAGAAAATACAATCCAGAGCATTACTCACATAGAATCTTCTTTTGTTTAATTTAACACTTTAATAAAGTTTCAATGGATCTACATTGTGACAAAAGAAAAGAAAATAAATATAGAAATTATGTAAATTTCTTGATGAAGCATTCGCATTTTTTTTGTTTAAAAACAATTCAAGAATTGAGATATAGATTGTTTCCAGCAATTTATGTATACATTATATGTGTGATTTGCGTTTTTGGCATACTTCAATTGATTTATGGACGATGTACATATATTGCCAAAGGCAATGGTTTGCCGACAACTACATTACCAATTTGAATTGAATTGAGAAAATTTGAATTGAATTGAGAAAACCGTTCTCTAGTGATTTATTTTATAAGCCGGACTCAAGATTCAAATTATTATATTTGGTAATGTAAACATGACGTTTTTTGCTATATACCAACACATACATACAATGATAAAATAAAACTTAACAACAATTGTATTGATAAATATATCAACAGAAAATATTTTGCATATAGTCAAAATAAGAGAGAAAAGGAAGATAGAAAACAAGGATGATGGACTTGTATCAAGTTTTTGACATACTAAATCACTGCCAAAAATAGCTCAAATATTACATGAAATTATTGAATTTAGGACGCATGTTGTCATTGGTACTCTGCAATATTTCAGCAAATTTATAAACACTAGGTCTGTTACGATAATATTTCGTCCAGTACTGTTTAGGTTTCTTTATAAGCATTACAAATAAATACAAAATGAAATTCGTCCTCTATATCACGTGAATTACACATAAGACATGATTATTTCACTCTCGTCCAAATTATATTCAAGGATATATGAGCCGCGTCATGACAAAACCAACATAATGGGTTTGCGACCAGCATGGATCCAGACCAGCCTGCGCATCCGCGCAGTCTGTTGAGGATCCATGCTGTTCGCTATCAGTTTCTCTACTTGTTATAGGGTTTGTAAGCGAACAGCATGGATCCCGATCAGACTGTGCGGATGCGCAGGCTGGTCTGGATCCATGCTGGTCGCAAACCCATTATGTTGGTTTTGTCATGACGCGGCTCAATTATACTATATACATGTATATTCGTGAATGACTAAACTTGAAACTGGTATTCTGCGTATAGATTATTTTTGATATTTATGTTGAAACTCATTCGAAAATATATACCAACAGGTCACTGGATGCATAATAAGGAATTCCGCAATATATTAAGCCAATATGTGATGCAACACAAGGCTGCCTTCTCGGCTTCCGTTAGTTTTACCCAAAAGGACCCGGCACAGTGTTGGGATAGTGTAAAAAAAGTAATTCTAGAAAAGAAATTATACTTTATATATAATATATAGTCTATATATTATACAGTATATACAATATATATATTTTTTTTAAAATTACTTTTTACACTATCCCAACACTGTGCTGGGTCCCTGTGGTTTTACCCATGCCGGAAATTTCATCTGGCATTGGGGTGCCAGACTAGTCGCGTGCTGTACAATGACATTATAGATTGACGTAATTTTAACGTTATGAATAAGGTTAAATTTCATACACTGTTGTAAGAAAATAGTTACGGTTGTAATGACATTAGACATTTATTTCCATGGAAAATTGTTTTATTAAGGTAAAGAGTTTAAAATTTAATGGCGTATGCTAGAATATGCAAGTCAAATATCTGACATATGTTTGCAGTTCGTATCGGATATTCCGCAAACCGCAAACATAATTATGACAGATATTACATTATTGGTCAGATCATTTAAATTAATACGAGGACTATACAAAAGTTTTTCGTGAACGTTCATTTCATATGTCGAATATAACGTGGGAAAACTGCAGTAAATATGCTGCAGATTTTCTATACTTACTTGTGTTAAAGACACTTGACATATAAACCTCGTTTTAAAGAAAAACGTACAGTTTTATTTTTCCTACAGGTAATACGCAGTCAAAGATTATAGTTGGAGCAATAAATGTTGGAAAAAGTGACGAATGGGTACATGTAGATGGTACGTTAGTGGACAATTCGTTTTGGGTTTCCAGTAAACCTACTGGTCAATCCAAAGTAAATTGCATGCATTCCGACACTGGGAGTCAATATAAACAAAATAATGACGATTGTGGTCAGAACAGAGGTTTTGTTTGCGAATTTTGGTAGGCATTATTTCTTTTATAAACATTTTATACATTATCATGTACTGAGAAGCGCCATTTTAAACATTATCATGTACTGAGAAGCGTCATTTTATATATTATCATGTACTGAGAAGCGCCATTTTATACATTATCATGTACTGACAAGCGTCATTTTATATATTATCATGTACTGAGAAGCGCCATTTTATACATTATCATGTACTGAGAAGCGCCATTTTATATATTACCATGCACTGACACGCGTCATTTTATATATTATCATGTACTGAGAAGCGCCATTTTATATATTATCATGTACTGACAAGCGTCATTTTATATATTATCATGTACTGAGAAGCGCCATTTTATATGTTATCATGTACTGAGAAGCGCCATTTTATATATTATCATGTACTGAGAAGCGCCATTTTATATATTATCATGTACTGAGAAGCGCCATTTTATATATTATCATGTACTGAGAAGCGCCATTTTATATATTATCATGTACTGAGAAGCGCCATTTTATATATTATCATGTACTGAGAAGCGCCATTTTATATATTATCATGTACTGAGAAGCGCCATTTTATACATTATCATGTACTGACAAGCGTCATTTTATATATTACCATGCACTGACAAGCGTCATTTTATATATTATCATGTACTGAGAAGCGCCATTTTATACATTATCATGTACTGAGAAGCGCCATTTTATATATTACCATGCACTGACAAGCGCCATTTTATATATTATCATGTACTGAGAAGCGCCATTTTAATATATTACCATGCACTGACACGCGTCATTTTATATATTATCATGTACTGAGAAGCGCCATTTTTATATATTATCATGTACTGAGAAGCGCCATTTTATATATTACCATGCACTGACAAGCGTCATTTTATATATTATCATGTACTGACAAGCGCCATTTTATATATTATCATGTACTGACAAGCGTCATTTTATACATTATCATGTACTGAGAAGCGCCATTTTATATATTACCATGCACTGACACGCGTCATTTTATATATTATCATGTACTGAGAAGCGCCATTTTATATATAATCATGTATTGACAAGCGTCATTCTATATATTATCATGCACTGACACGCGTCATTTTATATATTATCATGTACTGAGAAGCGCCATTTTATATATTATCATGTACTGGCAAGCGTCATTTTATATACTATCCTGTATTGACAAGCGCCATTTTATATATTACCATGCACTGACAAGCGCCATTTTATATATTATCATGTACTGACAAGCGTCATTTTATATATTATCATGTACTGAGAAGCGCCATTTTATATATTACCATGCACTGACACGCGTCATTTTATATATTATCATGTACTGAGAAGCGCCATTTTATATATTATCATGTACTGACAAGCGTCATTTTATACATTATCATGTACTGACAAGCGTCCATTTTATATATTATCATGTACTGAGAAGCGCCATTTTATATATTATCATGTACTGACACGCGTCATTTTATACATTATCATGTACTGACAAGCGTCATTTTATACATTATCATGTACTGAGAAGCGCCATTTTATATATTATCATGTACTGACAAGCGTCATTTTATATATTATCATGTACTGACAAGCGTCATTTTATACATTATCATGTACTGAGAAGCGTCATTTTATACATTATCATGTACTGACAAGCGTAATTTTATATATTATCATGTACTGAGAAGCGCCATTTTATATATTACCATGCACTGACACGCGTCATTTTATATATTATCATGTACTGACAAGCGTCATTTTATATATTATCATGTACTGACAAAGCGCCATTTTATACATTATCATGTACTGAGAAGCGTCATTTTATATATTATCATGTACTGAGAAGCGCCATTTTATACATTATCATGTACTGTACTGAGAAGCGCCATTTTATATATTATCATGTACTGACAAGCGTCATTTTATATATTATCATGTACTGAGAAGCGCCATTTTTATATATTATCATGTACTGACAAGCGTCATTTTATATATTATCATGTACTGACAAGCGCCATTTTATATATCATCCTGTACTGACAAGCGCCATTTTAATATATTGTCATGTACTGACAAGCGTCATTTTATATATCATCCTGTACTGACACGCGTCATTTTATATATTATCATGTACTGACATGCGTCATTTTATATATTATCATGTACTGACAAGCGTCATTTTATATATTATCATGTACTGACAAGCGTCATTTTATACATTAGCATGTACTGACAAGCGTCATTTATATATTATCATGTACTGACAAGCGTCATTTTTATACATTATCATGTACTGACAAGCGTCATTTTTATATTATCATGTACTGAGAAGCGCCATTTTATATATTATCATGTACTGACAAGTTTCATTTTATATATTATCATGTACTAAGAAGCGCCATTTTATATATCATCCTGTATTGACAAGCGTCATTTTATACATTATCATGTACTGAGAAGCGCCATTTTATATATCATCCTGTACTGACAAGCGTCATTTTATATATTATCATGTACTGAGAAGCGCCATTTTATATATTATCATGTACTGACACGCGTCATTTTATATATTATCATGCACTGACACGCGTCATTTTATATATTATCATGTACTGACAAGCGTCATTTTATACATTATCATGTACTGAGAAGCGCCATTTTATATATTACCATGCACTGACACGCGTCATTTTATATATTATCATGTACTGAGAAGCGCCATTTTATATATTATCATGTACTGACAAGCGTCATTTTATATATTATCATGTACTGAGAAGCGCCATTTTATATATTATCATGTACTGGCAAGCGTCATTTTATACATTATCATGTATTGGATGCGCCATTTTATACATGATCATGTATTGACAAGCGTCATTTTATATATTATCATGTACTGACAAGCGTCATTTTATACATTATCATGTACTGAGAAGCGCCATTTTATACATTATCATGTACTGACAAGCGTCATTTTATACATTATCATGTACTGAGAAGCGCCATTTTATGTATTATCATGTACTGACACGCGTCATTTTATATATTATCATGTACTGACAAGCGTCATTTTATACATTATCATGTACTGAGAAGCGCCATTTTATATATTACCATGCACTGACACGCGTCATTTTATATATTATGTACTGAGAAGCGCCATTTTATATATTATCATGTACTGACAAGCGTCATTTTATATATTATCATGTACTGAGAAGCGCCATTTTATATATTATCATGTACTGGCAAGCGTCATTTTATACATTATCATGTATTGAGAAGCGCCATTTTATACATGATCATGTATTGACAAGCGTCATTTTATATATTATCATGTACTGACAAGCGTCATTTTATACATTATCATGTACTGAGGAGCGCCATTTTATACATTATCATGTACTGACAAGCGCCATTTTATACATTATCATGTACTGACAAGCGTCATTTTATATATCATGCACTGACAATCGTCATTTTATATATTATCATGTACTGACAAGCGCCATTTTATACATTATCATGTACTGAGAAGCGCCATTTTATATCTTATCATGTACTGACAAGCGTCATTTTATAAATCATGTACTGACAAGCGTCATTTTATATATTATTATGTACTGACAAGCGCCGTTTTATATATTATCATGTACTGACAAGCGTCATTTTATATATCATCCTGTATTGACAATCGCCATTTTATATATCATCCTGTATTGACAAGCGTCATTTTATACATTATCATGTACTGACAAGCGTTATTTTATATATCATCCTGTACTGACAAGCGTCATTTTATATATTATCATGTACTGACAAGTGTCATTTTATAAATTATCATGTACTGACACGCGTCATTTTATATATCATCCTGTACTGACAAGCGTCATTTTATATATTATCATATACTGACAAGTGTCATTTTATAAACTATCATGTACTGACAGGTGTCATTTTATAAATTATCATGTACTGACAAGCGTCATTTTATATATCATCCTGTACTGACAAGCGCCATTAAATAAAATGATCATGCACTGACAAGCGTCGTTTTAAACATTATCATGTATTGACAAGTGTCATTTATATATCATCCTGTACCGACAAGCGCCATTTTATAAATTATCATGTACTGACAAGCGTCATTTATATATCATCCTGTACTGACAAGCGCCATTTTATACATTATCATGTACTGACAAGCGCCATTTTATACATTAGTATGTATTGACAAGCGTCATTTTATATATTATCATGTACTGACAAGCGTCATTTTATATATCATCCTGTACTGACAAGCGCCATTTTATACATTATCATGTACTGACAAGCGCCATTTTATACATTAGTATGTATTGACAAGCGTCATTTTATATTATCATGCACTGACAAGCGTCAATTTTATATATCATCCTGTATTGACAAGCGTCATTTTATATATTATCATTTACTGACAAGCCTCATTTAATACATTATCATGTACTGACAAGCGTCATTTTATACATTATCATGTACTGACAAGCGTTATTTAATATATTATTATGCACTGACAAGCGTCATTTTTATATGTTGTCATGTATTGAAAAACACCTTTAATAGATTAATATTACTTAAAATCAGAACGTTTTGCTTTTTGCGCACAAAAAATTAAGATGTCGCTTTCTTTATTATTTTCTTTGTAAAATTTTCAATCTGTCTTAAGGTTTGACTTGTCCCTTTTTTCTTTCGCATTTTGACATTGCTTTCTGATACATAAAGAGATAATGATGTATTTATGCATATCTTATTTTACATTTCAGATTTGATTATCTTCAGAAACCACCAATGTAACAATGCTTACAGTTTAATGTAATAATGTTTAAATAAAATCTGATCAAAACATTATTCCTTTGTAGTTTTCTTTATATACTCGTATATGCATATTTGACTCTGCAGATGTGTTTTCCCCATCTAATCATTGGGTACAAACAAATTTTTACATTTTGGCAAATTTACATTTTGGTAAATTTCGGTGCAGTATCACGCAGTGATCACTTAATTGCGAATAAATATTGCCGTAAAAATAAGTATCCCGGGATTAGATGGGAAAAACCCACATTTGCCGTTTTCCGGATAACATCTACTATTCTGTCATGTAATCGTCCATTTCCTAAAAAGATAGTTTTTAAGAAAAAAAAACATGGGGCATACATTTTTAAATCCCCAACAATATATTGCTATACTCAGCTCTTTTCTGCAGTGTATGTTTACCTATCTAATCTAATGCACTCTGGAGTGTTCATGGTATTTACTGATGAACAACAAATCAATGTCTACCAACATTACGTTAAGATACTAGTAGCCAGATACTGATTTTCACAGAAATAATCATATTTCTTTTCTTTCTTTTGGATTGACTGGTTAATTATAACGCTATAATAAACAAATAAAATAGAGAAAAACAGACTCCCTAAAGAAAGCCCAATACGTCAAAATTGAAAATGTTGCAGACAAGGTTTAATTGAGACTGTTCTTGGACGGTACTGGAAGGCGCAATTTACCGTCCACACTTTTCAGTGTCTCATCTTTCATCTCAGTGAGTGTATTGTTAACTATCATATAAATAGCCGTGTATATATCGTGAATTCTGTGAACATTATGAAGTACTGGACTGTGCCATATAGATAGATGTGCGAATTTATAGGTTCAATTTCCGATTCGGTGTCATGTAAATGCAAACTATTTCATTTTAACATCGACTGAACCAATGACTTTCTAAATATTTAGAGACGTGCTCTGTAACACCGCACTTTTGCGTCACTACCTCAAAGCGCTTTACGTTCTTTGGGAACTGACCTCAAAGTGCGTTACACAGGTACATATGCAATTTTTAAGGTCGAACATAATCGACCGCACTTTGAGGTTAGTAAAAATAAAACAATCAAATCATGATTTTTTCTCAAGCAATATTAAAGGGAGATATCATTTTTATATTAATAAATCTTAGTTCTTTCTCTGTTGAATGTTGTTGAAAATGAATTCGGTCGGAGCTAACTGCCTTCACTAGGAAAAAACAAAACATTCCAGATGGCTGCATAAATGGGCACCAAATTATTAGTTAAATTATTTCATTGCACTGTGATGTATCTAAGAATTGATCGGTATCTTGAACTCTTTTTGTAAGCATTAAAAACCAAAGTAGTAACTAACAAGGAAACCAAATAATTCTGGTTAATGAAAATAATACATATTACAGAGATAGTGTGACAAAATTAAAATCATGTCAGCTCAAATTTCCTATTTATTATTAGAGAGTTAGTGCATTGTCATTTGCAGAAGCACGTAGGCGCATTTAATCCCAAGCCCTCAGGGCAAAGTATTAAGTCCGAGGGCCTCTGCAGATGATAATGCAGGAACGAATGTGCACTTGCGATATTTTTCAAAGAAGTATACGTCTGATATCTCTGATATATACATCAAGTTCGTTATAAAGAAACCATTTTGTCATGCTTAACGCGTACAAGTGTGCTGACATTTGATATAATTACCCCTCACTATTTTTCTTATGTTTTGTACCATATGACTAAAAATCTGTACTTTTCACAGTATGAATCTGAAAAATAAAAACCCATAGAAACCGTGTCCCAATATAATATTTGTTCGGGATACAAAAAATATGTAGGTTTGTGAGCAACTGCAAAAATATCATCCCTCGTAAAAATACTGTTACCCTCTGGTAAGACCCCCAAAAATTTAATACTAGTATGCAATGTGTCAACTTCTTTGTAATCAAAAGCGCCCAAGATCTCTGAGCCATACAGTAAAATCGGTATTACCAAACTTCAAACAGTTCTAATTTTGTTTTTATATTAAATTGATGATGATGGTATGTTTTAAAGCTTTTTTTTAGACAGAGCCTTTGTTGCTACTTTAAGGTCACAAGTATATGACAATTTTACTCCCAAATAAATGAAGGTTCATCATTAATATTAACATTAAAATGTTCAGTAGTTTTACGCCTTTTAAACATATACTTTAGTTACAGCAACATTGATTTTCAGACCCCACTCACAGGAATACCTTGAAATTGAGTTAATTTAAGTTTGTAGTCTTTCTATATCTGTTGTAAGCAAAACAATATTATCTTTAGATAACCATATGCACATGTATTCAGATAACATCTCTATATCTCTTGGTGACATTTGCTCAATGTCAATACACTGTTCAATATCTTTTATAAATATTATAAAAAAACAAGGGTGATAATGTCTTTTCTTGTTTTAAGCCAATGGCACAGTCAATTTTGTATTTACTTTAAACAAAAATTTACAGATGGATATAAAATATATTGACAATTGAATAGTTAAAAGTTAACAACTGATACCGCAGTCTATCAATTTCATCATTAACTGAATAAACTGCTTTTTCATAATCTATGATTTATATGCAATATAATTTTTCATTTATATTCCAAAGCTTTTTTTTTTATTAAAAGAACGCAGTATAATAATGCATCAGTGGTAGACCGTCCCTAGAGTATCATACAACACACTTCTGAAGCAATTTTTTATGATTAAACATCAAATGAACTTACTAAAAATGTTAAAATCTTAAAATCGTTTTTGAGCAAAAAAATAATTGGTTGGGGAAAACAACAAATCAAAATAACTATTTCTAATAAATGGATAAATTTTGAGAATGGTTTACGTTAATTAACACTGTTCAGTCATTTCCAGAAAATACAGAAATTTCTGTCTCTGTTTTATGAGCAAGCTATTAAAGGAAAACGTGTTATATATTTTTTCTATTTTATCAAATCTGTACAGATGTGGTCAGCTTAAAATATGTTTATAAATATCATTTCCTATATAAGATAGAAAAGAGTTCCAATATGATTCTATGGGTCTGAACTGTGGGGTTCAAATTGAACAAAATTGTTTTAGAAATTGTTCATAATTTTGCCTGTAATAGATATATGTGTGTAAAACAATCAACTGCAAATGCATCAGTTATTGTAGTTTCCATTGTACATAACTACTGCTACAAGAAGCCTAGTATATTGGTTTAAGATATTAAACTTACCTAATGATCTTTATGTTAAAAAGTGTTATAATATTTTTATGCTACTTATATATGATAAAAATGGAATGAAATATTGGTCTTCTGATATTAAACATTTATTAAGATAGGAAAGATATATAACAACCCAAGTTTTTAGATTAAAAACTAATTACTATGGTTTTGGCAGAATTTTGTCCAATGGCTGGATATGTATTCCGGATAATCGGAAATACATATAGTATAATGATTACAATATGACTAAAAGCCCATATAGCTGATCACACTCCGGACAATCGGAAGTGAATTTAACTAAAGCCCATATAGCTGATCACCCTCGGACAATCGGAAGTGAATTTTACTAAAGCCCATATGGCTGATTACAATCCGGACAGTCGGAAGTGAGTTTTACTAAAGCCCATATGGCTGATTACACTCCGGACAGTAGGAAGTGAATTTTTATATTTTGAAAAAGAGACAACGTGCTGGCAAATGCCATGCCTTAAACATATGTTGTAATGATATAATGACTGACTGATACATATATTATTAGTTATAAAGATCGTTGACAGGTTATATGGCCCTATATAAACGGCTATTTGTAAATATAACCCAAGCCGTTAGGCGAGGGTTATATTGCAAACAGCCGTTTATATACGGCCATATAACCTGTCAACAATCTTTATAACGAATTTATAATACAGCAAGCATCATTTTGTGGAGAAAAAGTAAGATATCGACAGCAGCCGTGTATATAAAACTATATAAACGTCACGATTATCCAATGAAAAGCGACGTTACAAACGTGCAGTATTATAAAATGTCATATACAAGAATGTTGATTTCACTCCGGACACTCGGAAGAGAAATAACAAATAACAGAAACTAACTTAATATTACTAAATAATAATGTCTGTAAGCACTTGTCTCAAATTTCAACAGTCACATTGTAAATACAGCCATGACGTTTTGTTTCAATGAAATACATCCATGATGAAAGCTCTTCATAGATACATCTGAAAATATGAATTAAGAAATCACAACACAGGCAGAAATCATTAGGGATGGATAGGGTGGGTTTTGATCGTTTAAATTAAACATTATGATGTGAAAATACTCAACAAACTGAAAAAACAGCCGTTACCTTTCAAGAGACACCTGACTTCAAAAGGGAGGAAACTAGTATAACCCAATGAACATTAAAATAGGACATGATTATCTCCCCTCTAATAAGAAAGCATTATTAAAATACAAAATTTCGCATAATGCCAATTATTAAGATAGGAAAGATATATAACAACCCAAGTTTTAGATTAAAAACTAATTACTATGGTTTTGGCAGAATTTTGTCCAATGGCTGGATATGTATTCCGGATAATCGGAAATACATATAGTATAATGATTACAATATGACTAAAAGCCCATATAGCTGATCACACTACGGACAATCGGAAGTGAATTTTACTAAAGCCCATATTGCTGATTACATTCCGGACAGTCGGAAGTGAATTTTTATATTTTGAAAAAGAGACAACGTGTTGGCAAATGCCATGACACGAGTAAATCAAGATGCACAAGTGTCCCCAACGAATCTCCTTGGACTAGCTTGTCATTCCCTGAAAATTCCAGAAACTGATTTTATACAATTTATGGATGGATGAGATTATTTACATTTTAAACATTTATGTTGGTATTTAAATTTTGGGCAAAAACCTTTATTATTAAATTCAAAGCAAGGCTTCAAGGTTACTGGCTGAATTGCTGATTGACTGGTGCTGTCAAACATAGCATCCATAATTCAATGTCAATAACTGCCCAACTTGAAGAAGGATGTTTCGACTTACGGAGCCTGAATTGCTCATCATATGTTAACCACCCAGACTTATGTCTCTTAGATGCCATACGAATTGTGTGCATATAATGCAAAAGTTGCTTAGCTTGGTCCGGGTGACGGTCTGTGTAAATATACATGAAAATTAAAAAAACAGTCTGTCCACTGTTCTATTGAAACAACTTGTTGTTGGTTAGATTTTTTTGGAAGAACTGAAATCTTATCGTTACTAAATGAAATATGTAGTTCTTGATCTTTTTTTGAGCTACTTGAAAGAAGTTGAGAAAGTTCAATAAATTCTCCATTCCAAATTTTCTGTTTTAAATTATCTGAAACATGGAGAGAAATATCAGAAGAAACAGAATTAAAGTTACCGTATGTGTGTGGTTCAAATAATGGCTGAGGTTCCAAGGGTGGCTGAGGCTGCAGTTGTTGCTCCATAGGTAGTTGAGGCTGCAGTTGTTCCGGAGGTTGCTCAATGCGTAGATGTGACTGTGGTTGCAGGGCACCAGGAAACTGCATCATGTATTGCGCCTGAGCTCCTGATGAAGGATACAATGTACTTGTAGGAATAAATTGTTGTTGCTGGTGTAGAATTTGCTGTGGCATGGTCGAAACAGATGGTTGATTTAATGAAACTGGCATTTGATGAAAATTCATGTGTTGTGGTTCAGCTTGAGGGTACATGCCTACATGGGGGTATCTTGTGCTTGTTGCAAGCTGACCATGTCATGGAAGTTTGCCCTGTGCTGTGGTCCTGGTTGGGAAGGTGGAACATGCCTAGGGTGAGAATGTGAACGGGTCTGGTTTCTCATATTATCAACCTGTTGCCTAAGATTTCCACGACGATGTGAGACATCTCTTCCAAGTGGCATATTGAAAGATATGAAATCAAAATAAATGTTATGATAACTACAAGTTCAATAAATGTTATAAAAACCTCCATTTAATGTGCACATCGCATAACACATTATAAATCTGAATAGAAGCCCATTTGGCATACAATATTATTAATGGACCTAAGGAAGTCAAAAATTAAATACATATTAATTTACTTTAAAGTAACTATATTAATCATACAGAATTTATTGATTATTAAAATTGATGCCCATTTGGCATAAAACATTTTTGTTTTGTAATTTTAGATATATCTTGAAAAAGAATTATACTGTTAACTCCAAATATATAGATTCATACAAATAATATATTTAGATCTATATATATAAATATCTATATACATGTATAAATAAAATGATAAAACCCCCATTTTGGAATTTATAACAAATTTTGACTGTACGCACATATGGCGTATTGGCAAGTCAAAAATAAAAGAATAAATTATAACTCGTTAAGTCAGGCGCATCATACAAATATATGTGAACAAAAAATCCATTTGGCATGATAAAAAAGGCCCACTTGGCACAAATTATTATTATTATTTTTTGCACGCCCATATGGCGAATGGCAAGTCAAACATAAGAACATATATTTATAATTCCGAAAATCGAAAATATCATGCAAATATATGCATACAAAAACCCATTTGGCATACTGTACAGGCCCATTTGGCACACACAACTTTTGACTGCGCGCCCATATGGCGTATTGGCAAGTCAAACATTAGTGCATATATTTATAACTCCGGAATGAAATATTGGTCTTCTGATATTAAACATTTATTACTATATACATATACGCGTACAAATGGTTTTGGATCTGTTTGGAAAATCAGGGTGTTGACGATAAGAAATTTTCCATAAAATTGTTAGTTTAATAAAGACAGAAGTGGGATTACAAATTAAATCAAAGTACAATTCATATTCATTGTATAAATATAAGTTTATATATGAGACACATTTATCTGTTGTTTTAATTCTTTAATTAAGGAATGCATTTGCAAAACTACGCATACTGAAATGACCAATTTTCAATCACAACCTAAGTTCAAACACCTTCTTAATTCTGTAGCTCTGTTCTCATGTCTGACTAAATTACATAACGTCACATGTTGTATTAACTTCAACACTTGCAGGAATGCCATACTTGATGAAAAACAATAAGAAACTGTTTGCTTTAAGTGACACAATCAATTTCAACTATGTCAAATTAGTCACTTGTTTAAAATAGGGATAAAATTTTTCCAAGCGCATTAAATCTTTTATAAAGTATTGGCTACAGAGTTTTACTATTTACCTCAGTCTTATGTGTATTTAAAACATTTATTTATATGATGAAACACTAAGTATTCATCAGACTTTACATAGGGGTCCTTATTAATGAAATCATAAATTGTTATCAATTTTTTTTATGTGATGATTGCAGAATAAATCTATTGTAAGCGATACCAGCTGGCAGATCTAGACAAGTTTCCATATTTGGTAATATTATAAAGTAGGAAAAGTTAAGTGACTGTAATGATTGGATGCATTTATCATTTTGCACCTCAATTACCGTACACCTTAAACTGCCCTTTTTATACACATTAACAGTAGTCATACCAATGCATTGTACTGTACATATGTTATAACATTTAGTAAACGTTTTTTTTTTAATCTTGAAAAAACTGTTGAATCTTGAACAAATTCTTCAGTGGTGATTACCCTGCTGTTTGAATTTCGGTTAAAATATTCCTGGCAGTGAGTGGGTCATATCCTTTTTATTGTTTTTCTAAGAAAGATCAAGACATCTTGAAAATGTACCAACCTTAAAATGAATAAATGTTGATAGATGCATTTATAGCTAAAAAAAGTGAAAGCAAACTTTTCTCTTCCATTTATTATCGGCTAAAACAGCTTAACTAAATAAATATTGGTTGTTCCGGAATATTTCATCAAATGATTTTAATATTAAAAAAGGCAGAAACATACATGAAGAGAGATATGACCGTATATGTAACTTATGTGAGGTTCCAGTAGAAACAGAATATGAGCCAAGTCACGACAAAAACAACGTAATGCGTTTGCGACCAGCATGGATCCAGATCAGCCTGCGCATCCGCGCAGTCTGATCAGGATCCATGCTGTTCGCTATCAGTTTCTCTACTTGTAATAGGGTTTGTAAGCGAACAGCATGGATCCTGATCAGTCTGCGCGTATGGGCAGGCTGGTCTGGATCCATGCTGGTCGCAAACGCATTACGTTAGTTTTGTCGTGACACTTACATTTACATTCATAGCCTATGAAAAATTGAGAATAAAATACTTACCAAGCAACGATTTGTACATAACTTTAATATCTTAATGATCTGTCAAGCTGAAAATATAATAAATAATTTGGCAAACTTTGTGTTAAGTGCTTTTCAACAACAACAACAACAACAACAATAATAACAACAACAACAAGAAGAACGATTATTAAGTGTTATAACTTAAAATTGTGTAATGACTTAATATCAAGAGGTCTGCCATGATATAGATAGTAACAAGATTTTACTTAAACATAATTTTACTTGTACAATATTTCACTCCATGTAAATGTATTGATATGTATGCAGTATATGTTGTTTTGAACTATAGGTCTTGTATCAATAAACGTTTTGTCATTGTCAATGATGTACTGGTGATACAAATGATGATGATATACTGTTGATGGTGATGATGATGATGATGATGATGATGATAATGATGATAATGATAATGATGATTAAAATAATGACATGCTGATAATGATCATGATAATTACTGGTGGTGATGATGATGATGATGATGATGCTTTTTTCAGATGATGACGATTTATGATATATTGGTGTTGTTGTTAATGACAATAGGGATGATGTATTGATGTTGATGATCTATTGATGATAATGATGATGTTCTGATAATGGTGATGATGAAGATTCCCCCTAATAATATGCAATTTGCAATATTGAACTTGTGTCGCGCCTAGCCTAATTTATCAATTGGCGTAGATTCAGTAAATGATTTACAATATGAATTCAACTTATTTTTCGCGTAACTCAAAAGATGTTTAACATAGAGTCATAAAACTTTACAGGACTGTTGGCCAGCTTGTGTGTCTTGGACTTTGCTTGTTTTCGTTAACTTTTAAGCATACTTTGGGATATTAAATTGAAAATTGAAATTTTATTGATATTGAGGAACATTGGAATATAACTGGATGTCGTTTTTATGGGTAATGGTACATGTAGAATTTCCTTTGTCCCACTGCCATAGTGTCCTGGTCTACGTCATTACACTGACAAGACAGCTGGGTGTTTGGGTATCCGTGTTGTATTGACACATTCATAGTTCATTAAATAAAATTATGCTTTCGTTGGTAACATACAAATAGCTACATAACTGATAAGAAAACTTCCTACATGTATACAAACGTGTTTTATTTTTCAATAACTTATTAACATTACTGTTTTGATGTTATCTGTTCATCAGACATATACAAAAAAATGTAATTACTTTCTCTGATAAATCAAGAATGACATCACTTTAATTAATTTTTCAAACGTAGATAAACAATAAAGATATTGCCTCTGGCATAACCATTTTGTTTGATAACTTGTGGGTCGTCCATATGAAAATAAAGTTTAGATTTAACAGTAAATTGTATTTTTGAATTATATGAAAGGTTCCGGCGATTGAAAAAGGTACTGTTTATTTTTACTTTACTATATTGTTATATATTTCTTTTTACAAGAATACGCTTTGGATATTGATTGTTGATTTGAGTATTTTTTTTTTTACTGCTGGTAAAAATTTTTTGATACAAACTTTCGTATTATGACAATCATAAATTATCAATGTACACAGAGATTTAGATTTAAAAAAATCAACAACACAGAATTGAGATATTGCTTATTATAGTGACAACATTTAACTCGTCAAGATGTAATCTATTTATTTACCAGAAGTAATAATCGTGTTAATGAAAAAAAGTTAATCATGCTTTTAAAGATCTTCTCGGAAAATACAAAACATTTTGCACTGTAACCAATGGTTCGCTATATCAAATGTTTTCTTTCAATTGATCGTTTTAACCCTTTTTCCTATTATTCTTTGTACAAGTTAATGTTTAAGTTGGTCATTAAGAAAATGTTGATTATAGTTTAAAACTTCCATTTACAAATTCTTATTGATACAGTAAATACTCCTGCTTTTTGTATACGGTGATTTTCATCATATTTTATGCCACTAAAATTGTGACAGGTCCGACCACCACTATCTCTTCGTTGTTGAATGGTGTCTCATTGAATGACATATGAGCCGTGTCACGACGAAACCAACATAATTGGCTTGAGACAAGCATGGATCTAGACCAGCCTGCGCCCCGCGCAGTCTGATCAGGATCCATGCTGTTCGCTTACAAACCCTATTACAAGTAGAGAAACTGATAGCGAACAGCATGGATTCTGGTCAGACTGCGCGAATGCGCAGGCTGGTCTGGATCCATGCTGGTCGCAAACCCATTATGTTGGTTTTGTCATGACACGGCTCATATATTCCAATTAATCCCACATAGCGGGAGAATGGTTAATTGTTAGACACAATTCGGATTCAAATATTTAACATAAAGCATAAAACATAATACAATGTTTATTGACAAATATAATACCAGTTTGATTGTTTCCCTTCATCTATTGTATATTCTATTGTATTACAGCAGAAGATGATTACCAAGGTTATAGTTCTAGCATTTACATTGGTACTATTGTTCCAAGGTAAACATCTTTTTATTTCATTATTTTTCTTTTAACATCAAATAAATAACGAACGATAAATAACTTTAATTGTTCCGTAATAGGGAACATAGCTTCCCATACATAGCTCATTCATTATTTTATTGAAATAAGGTATATTCGGTTTTCAATAACTTTCTGTTATTAAGATATTTTACGCAATGACGAACATAGTACATCTTTATGTATATGTATGTAATTATTTAAAAGTTACTTAAAAAAATCGTAATGAACGTTACATTGTCGTTAGTAAAAAGTAAAAAAATATCACATTGCATCAAAATATTTTACGCGAAAACAAAAATGCTCGATTTTGTATTTGACTATTAATATTTTCTAATTTTTTGAAAAAATTTATCTAAATTGGAATAATTTACATAAAAGGATGAAAATAAGGTTATTTCCGACAGCGAACATCATATCTTCAGGAATCAGAAAAGATGTGGTAGGAATGACTACATTAATGTGGTGTCGAGTTCGATTAGCATTGAGTTAAGAATGTCGCTACCGATAATTCTACATTATTAATGGAATCTGTCGTTGAGTTGAAACCGCTGCTTTAGCTTAATATATGATATATTTCAAATCTCCGTTATTTGATTGATCTGTGTATCTTTTAAATGAACAGTATAATTGATTTCTTCTTTATCCTAGATTTTCTACATTTTAGGATACGTAGCACTTGATTCATGTGCGACGCCTGGGTTCTACCTGTCCAGTGATAATAACTATTGTTTCGCCTACTCTGCTCTTAGCAGAGAAGCACATACGCACTCAGTAAGTTCATTTATTTTCAAGGTATAATTGTATATTTTCTATAAGTTTATTTTTACTTGGAAATGAATTTTCTAACCGTTCTTCACCTGACATCGTTACGAAGCCAGCAAGCGCATAATGGCATTTTATAAGGGATATTACTTAACAAATAATATTCACTGTATTTTTTAGTTCATGCGTTTTATTAAAATACAAAGAACAGCAACTCACAGTGAAGCGAAATATTTTGTTCATATACTCAGTTGCTAAAGAAAGGATGTACTTGGTAACAGGGAGATTATATATACTTATCTAAAGGTACATCATGTCTCAAAAAGCCTGACAATTTTAATATTTTAGAAATTTAAAACATGTCTTTAATAATGTTTTAATAATAAATTAAGGCATTAAAATTAAAAACAAAGTAGTATTTTGACTTTCATACAAAATACTTATTCAGTTTTCAACTAATTTGTTTTACAGGCAAATACTTTATAGTGATAGAATATTCCTAATATTTTTTTTTTTATATAATTTTAACAAAATGCTTGCTTTAATTCATACAGATTATGTGTCACGCATATGGCAGCAAATTGGTCAACATAGAAGATGCTGATAAGCTGTCAAAAGTTGCGGCATTTTTGAGTGGTAAAGGCGGTGAGTTGTAACAGTAATATAATTGAGCCGCGTCACGACAAAACCAACATAATGGGTTTGCGACCAGCATGGATCCAGACCAGCCTGCGCATCTACGCAGTTTAATCAGGATCCATGCTGTTCGCTATCAGTTTCTCTGCTTGAAATCCTAATCAGACTGCGCGGATGCGCAGGCAAGTCTGAATCCATTCTGGTCGCAAACCCATTATGTTGGTTTTGTCGTGACGCGGCTCATATATATTTTCCGGCCGAAAGCCGTCTTAAATCAGTTTGACTTCCTGTAAAATTTACTGAAGATCTGAATAATGGAGGAATTTTCATTGGTCATTTTTTACATTTGCAAACTATTATTGGCCATTTTATAATAAAATGTAAAGGATATTTATTTACAATAAATCTATAATGATATTTCAGAAATAAAATGTTAAGGATAGTTTTTGACGTTATTAAAATTGTGTCCAAAATAACTGGACCACCAATAACGGTCATGGTATTGTAAGTTTACTGTTGCACATGTAAATATCGGAAACACACCAAATACCGGCCTTAGATTCTAATTAATATTCATATATTTTTGCATTTAAATCAAGTACATTTATTTATAAATATGATTGCCTATCGACTGCGCAGAATGATGTTGGTGTTAGGAATTGGATTGAATTGAAACCGAATTACGACAGGTTCATTTAGGAACACATTCATCTTACAGTTTTCCATTTTTCACGATTAACAACCATAGTTTATTAATCAATTAAGCGTTTTTACATATTGTAAAGAAGGTTAATTACGATTTTTTTATCTTCATGTATTTCCCTCTATACTTGTTGCAAATCCTTGATTTTATTCACATGAGCTTGATTTTCGGTCAATAAATTAGAATTGGAGTTAAATATGTACCCCATATATAACAAAACAAACATTTTTTCATATAGGGGGTACATTTAACTCTAATTCTTATTTATTGACAATTAATTTATAATCTTTTCAAGTTCCGTTTTGATTAAAATTGTTTAAGTAATTGTTTTTAAATTTAATATGACATTCAGTATATGAAAAATAAACATTTTACATTGATAGTAAAACGCACTATAACGAAATAATTAAGTACAAACTAAATTGTTCTATGTGTATGTGGAGTTTAAATATGGCTTTAGACCCCCAAAATTTCACAGACGTTATGTGGTGAGTGGGGTTGTGGACCTCAGTTAGATCTATCTCTAGTTTTCACTATTGTTTTTAACCAAAACTGATAAACGAAGTTTTTTTGCGGTTTATCACCTAAATAAATACTGTAAAATAATATATAAAGTAATGTCACCCATATCATTTTAAACAAATTATAGTTCCTTTTCTGATAATATTCTCGTTCCAAAAACGACACATATTTTGTTGACCTCGTTAAATAATAAAATTCAGATACACTGTATAACAGATTTAAATACTAGAACTTCACGTAAAATATAGGGGGATTTTCACTAACAAACTTAGGTTGATATCCAGTCCCAGAGGGTTTTTATATACAAGCTAATCCCGTGGTGAAAGTGAGGGTATCCGAGGGGTGTTAGGGTCATGACCTCCACGTTTACCTTTATATCGATCAAGTTTATTATACACACATGAATCTACATCGAATCATTATATATTGTAATTATGTTTTAGAGAGAAAATACAATACATGTAAATACACACTTTTCAATTTACAATACTAAAGCAAAAATTAGAGATCCCTATTATTACAGGTTAAGAAGGATATATCATTTCTTTATAAAATAGCTACATTTCCTTTGTAGTGACCGACACAGCAAGCGTCTTCATTGGTTTGACAAATATGTTAAATAATGCTAAGGTATGGGTATGGCATGGCGGAAACAAAACCGATTACACTAATTGGGCATTTGGCCAGCCAGCAATTGCTAACAGGTAAGTTTTACAACGTTATCACCGCTTTCGAGTGGAACCTCTTCTCCAGATTTTTTATTTAGTTTTCTTGAAATCAACCTCAAAATATTTCAAAGTAGCTGATCAAAAATAAGACAGTGCAAAAGCTCTGTAGACAACTTCGTAACTTCGCAGCCCGAAGTACGTTAATATGTAGCATATTAACGCACTTTGGTATTTCTTTCTCGAAGCGTTTGACTCCAAAGCGCAGTGTTACAAGCGTCTGCCGAAATGTCTCGTCAATCTCCTTAGCTGAAAGGCAAGACTTTTTTTAAATTTTTCTATAAATTCTGAATCTTAATGCGCACCATAATAAGCAATGTACATACAAATATAATCGTTAATAACCTTATATCAAATAAATTTATGGTCATACGTCTTGTATTGCAGAGATAATTGTGTCTTAATGACGGCAGGAAATCCCGACAATAAGTGGAAAGCGGCTTCGTGTTTAACTGGAGCATTTGCTGTGTGTGAACGAGAGGTAACTATGTTGTTTTTTTTATAATGACTTATAGATTTAGCCTACTTAATTCCTTTATGAATAACAACACTTTCAAAGTGAGTACAATGTAATTTTGCATTGTGTTTCATTCATTTTCTTGCATTTTATTTGTAAATAACACAGTGTGGCAATACCACGTGACTATGAGGTCATTTTCGGCATCATTTCCAAGACAAATATTGCTCGATTCGGAAAAGAAAATAGCCGTAAATATTTTATTTCTGTACCAATTTCTTTGGGATATACACCAGTCTACGGGGAAAAATATAAGCTTTCCACAGAATATTGGATCTTTGTCAGTTTATAAGCCGTTTTATCAAACACTTTGCATAACCTTGGAAGTTGCTTGTATCAGAGCGGGCTTCAGTTGCAAGCTATTTCGTTTTCTGGCGTTAATTTGTCTACGCCATGATTAATAGATCAGGTTAACATCAACCGGGGGTACAGGCAGCAAAATCCTACCTTAATACGTTTATATGTTTATTATTTATGGCGTAAATCTTGCCTTTTTCTACAATTGTCAATTCTGGCACCAGTTCCAAGTCGAAAAAAAAAGGACTACAGTTTAAAGCAGATTTTAGAATCCGTTGCAAATGCAAAGCAATATGCCTACCGTTCTCTTTCTACAATTATGTTATTGTATTTACTATGCGATTTACATTAACACAAATGAATATTTAAATGATTTTTACTCGCTGCGCTATAAGTGATTTTAAAAGTCGTAATATTGTTGACTGTATTTGTAAAGAAATTGATTTGCTCTTTAATCGTTGTTCTTTCACGGTAATGATTATGAAAAATCTATTAGTGTCATGTAGCAATGCAAAACGTGGAATATTCAAAATAGAGAGAAAACAGAAACCCTAAATATCGCCCAAAACGGCAAAATTGAAAATGTTGCAGGCTAGGTTTGACTTAGCTAGCCTGTCCAATGAACGTGCATATCCAGGATCACTTCCATTTGTATGCTGTGAAAAGGGTCACGCCTCAACGGGGCAATTTTAAAGTCAATGGTTATTCTTTTGTAAAGAGTTATTTATACGTATAACCATATAACATGTAGTAATGTTTTAGCATGATAGATTCAGCTTTTTAACACAGTGGTACTCGTTGATAAAAAATATTTTTACATCCTGTTTTCATACACATGGTAACCGTTTTTCGCGAACTGGATATAACTTCGTTCACTTAAGAACACTAAACACTATTTATTTTATTATTGCATTTATTTCTGTTGATAAACTGCATATCTGGCAAATTGAGTTAATTATATCAGTCAACCCAGCTTTATCAGAGAGCTCACCAATATACATTGTAAAGAGAGGAAGGGAACGGAATATTTATGGTTTGAAAACATTTCAATCGAGTAGAATTTTTAAACAATAATGTCTCTTTCAACTGAATTAAAACGATAGGGCTATTTGGGACTATTTCTTATCGATGTGGTCATTGGCTGTAAATGCATGGATTATTGCACGCGGCATGACCTGCAGATGTCCTCAACAGGACTTTTGTAGCATTTTAAGATTTAAAAAGGACTATATATTAAAATCTGAAACATGATAAACATAATGCATATGCCAAATAAGTGAATTATCTGATATGTAAATAAAGAAGTAAGTCATTTGACAGTTGAAGGATAAAAATTGAATATACTCGTAATTTTACTTAGCTTATGTTAGCTATTAATTATTCGATGGACGCATCAGTGTCATATGGACCCCAGTCATAGATCTTGCCGGTGTTGCTATTACAGATGTTAATGTAAATATTTATATAATTATTGATAATCATTGTTATTTCCGACTTTTTCAATGTTTTGTTTCAAGAAATTTGACTGTGATCGATGGCTGTTGGTTTGTAAAATCAATTATCTTTTACTATTTTCTACTTTGTTCACTCCACATGACGTCCATTCTCGTTCTTTATTGGCGACTCATGGCTATTTTGGGCCTTTTTGATAAATAGAGAATCATAAGTAATGCAACTAAGTAACAATACTATCAGGTTTACACGGCAAAGTTCCAAGTTATATGTAATGATATTTACACAAAGAACAAAATATGACTGATGATGAAAGTGCTTATAGTTTAATAAGCATAAAATGTTTAACATCATGTTAATGCGCGTGACAATTAGATTCATGATTTTAATACCGATACATGTGCATAGTACTTTAAATTGTGATTTCCTTCATCAAACTCTATAGAAATTTATTATACGACAATTCCAGAAAATATATACCTTTTAAAAGTATCTAAAACCTATTCGTCACGTTCACGAGTGTCAGTGTTTGTCAGTCACACTGAAAAATTACCTTAAGCTTTACAACACTCGCGTTAAAGTGTAACCTTTCCGTAGCAAACAAAAGTTGTTTTTTTAATTTTTACTCTTTCTCTCACTGAGAGCACATATATTTCTTATCAATTTCGCCAGTGTGAAATAGAATGAAACACATTTTACTACATAGAATAAGATGAGCAATACTTTAAACATCTTCAAAACAAAACCAAAATATTATTTTTCGACAGGACTAAATCTACGTGATTTGACGTGCACTATTGTGATAGAAATAAGTGTTATTGCTTTAAGGAACAATCCGTTTTTTCACAATTTCTCTGTGAAAGATCAACAATGAAAAACTAAATTGTAGAAAGAGAACGGTAGGCATGTTGCTTCGCATTTTTTGCAACGGATTCTAAAATCTGCTTTAAACTGTATTCCTTTTTTTCGACTTTGAACTGGTGCCAGAATTGACAATTGAAGAAAAATGTAAGATTTATGTCATTCATAATAAAAATATGAACATATTTAGGTAGAGTTTTGCCTTCCGTACTCCCGGTTGATGTAAACCTGATCTATTAATCATGGCGTAGACCAAATAACGCCAGAAAACGAAATAGCTTGCAACTGAAGCCCGCTCTGATACAAGCAACTTCCAAGGTTATGCAAAGTGTTTGATAAAACGGCTTATAAACTGACAAAGATCCAATATTCTGTGGAAAGCTTATATTTTTCCCCGTAGACTGGTGCATATCCCAAAAAAATTGGTACAGAAATAAAATATTTACGGCTATTTTCTTTTCCGAATCGAGCAATATTTGTCTTGGAAATGATGTCGAAAATGACCTCATAGTCACGTGGTATTGCCACACTGTAACATTCTGGAAGAAATTACAAAAACTTAATTCATAAAATAAGTCATGTCTGATATGCAAGAATGTTTATTTTACTCGTATTATTATTTATTTATCATGTTTAAAAATCTTGCGTTAAGATATATATCGCAAAGGCGAAACAATAGTCCTTTATATATTCTTGTTAACAATGCTCATATCAAACGAGAGTTAATGCTCGCCAATTTTTTTAAGCCAATTACCGACGAGGATTTTTCAAATTTTCAGGTTTCAAAAGTTTCTTAATAGAACAGATTTTATATAAAATGGACGTTTTATATTATAAAACGCAAGTGAGCGGAGCACTAAGCCGGTTAGAGTGAATATTGGATGTTCTTCGTAAATAAGAAAGCTACAGTCGCTTCGCAAGCTCCGCTCCTTTTTAGCTTTCTTATTTACGAAGAACACCCAATATGCACTCTAACCTATACTTAAACGTACAGTATCTTTCTTAAAAAGTGACACATTTCTTTAAAGTTAGTTCATAGGCTATATATATCTTTTTCTACCACAATAAAACAAAGCCCTTAACGTCTATTTGAAAAACTAAAAAACGCATTCACGTAGTGATTATATTGCAGAGAGCAATCAGTGAAAATTGCTGTTTTCGAAAAGTAACAGTACTATAAACATTCAACCCAATATTTAAACCGGTTTTTCATTTTAATTCTTTTGCGGCCAGAAATTGCAAGACTTGGAGGACTAAAACACAGTGTTTTGTCAATGGGGAATTATAAAATAAAGGTTCTCCATTTTTAGATTTTTAAATTTGTCTTTCTCTACCTTGTTTAAAATACGAACATGTACAACACTTTTTGCTATAAATAATACTTTATATTAGTTCATAAAGGTTAATTAGAGTCCTTAACAGTGATGGGGAGTGATACGTTAAGAACTCGTCCATTACATTAGCTATACAATACCTTCTACTGTTATATGTGCCTGAATATTCTAATGAATGACGCTTGCAAAAGAAAACAAAGACTTTCATCTTTAATGTCTTTATTATAAAATAAATACACAAAGTGTATACAGTTTGGACGGATATAACAAAATCAAATATCTGTAAAATACTGAAATAGACAAAGGCAAATAGAGTGTGATAAATGCATGTACCGTGCATTGCATGTATCATGTGATAGAAAACTTGGAAACAGCAATATAGAAAAAATAAAATCTCATGATTCGTGATCATTGAGCGCTTTTAAAAGTTGAAAAATTAGTTCCACTCAAGCCGGTGCTAGGAGGGCATTAGAGATGTTGCATTTTTCATTTTACATCATGTACAGACTCGATCAAACTGAGTCTGCAATTTCCGTTTAATTTGTTGTGATGAATCCGAGGGATCACATTTTCTAGATTTCGTATATAAACATCTGTTAAAGGCACTCTTTTAGATGAAATATTTACACAAACAGAAAAAAATGGTTATTTAGGGAGAACGTTCATTCAATTTATAATATATATATGTGTATCTAATTGCGTATGAAAAAAATATTATGCTCTTCAAGTTATAAAAGCCAAACTCTGTTTCTTATTTGTAGCAAATTACTAAAAACCATGACGTTTATGAAAAAATAACACATTATGCATAATATAGACCATTTTACGACGCGGTCTGTTGCTATGAAAAATTGACCGGAAGTAGTATTTTCTTGCACAGGCGCAATCTGAGTAGGGCAAAAAACGTTCATAGATGATTCAGATTTAGTTTAAGGTAAAAAAAAACAGGAAATCAAATAAAAAAGCTTTTTTACACAAACATGAAAAATACATTTATAGCTTTGTAGCCAAAATTGCCACAAAAAGGCACGGAAAAGACGACTGTTTAAGAATTCCCCCTTACGATCACGGATATGACAATGAGATAATTGCTATACAAAAATGTCGAAATATATATATTATCAAATAAATAAACAATAATTGTTAATATAAAAACTAAATACATTTAAAATAGAGGATTATTATTATTCTGAAAATAAGTCGGAACACGTGATAATTAATGCATTTTTAGTTTTCAGCTTATCTAATATTATCTTTTTTCCAACTTGACTGTGATGCTAAGCAGAAACTTTTTAAGACACATAGATATATTTACATAATGTTTTAAACTCTTAATAGGTTAAGATGGGTTATGAAATAACACACATTTTATCCGGTTTCATGTAAAACATTAAAATGCACGTCACGTACACTATTTAATTGTCACTACACCAAAATTAAATAAACAATGATGGTATAAATTTAAAAATAGTAAATTAAAAAAAACGATGTTTTTCAAATGTTTTTGATTAAATATGTCATGGGTATTAAAAACGTCCCGGTTAAATAAATACTGAAACAAATAGCTGGAAAAATAACGTTTAAAAGGGGGTCAATCGTTTCACGTTTTCAATCCTTTTACATTTTTCATTCCCGGGCCTTCCCCAAAATCCAAATTTTTCAAAGGGAATACCGGATTGTGAAATTTTTTTATGTTTACATGGGTAAAAAAATTGGTATCTTTAACCCCCTTGCTTTTAAATTTTAAAATTCTGATGAAAAAGTCTTTGGAAATGTCCCCTTAAACGGGGAAATTTTTGGCCCTTTGAATTTTAGGCCCCCCTAATTTTGGGTAAATCACGCTTGAAGTTCTTACTGCTTTAATTCATCACAAATATTCTGTTTTCATAACTTATAATCACGTCTTTTATTGCCTTCAAGTACGCTAAATGTAGTCTATCGTTATTGCGCGTTTGCTCTACGCAGAATGCGCATGCGCGAAATGCAACATGTATGCTATGGAAAAATCGTATTGTAAAAAGGTCTATATGTCTGAAAAAATTGATATTCCAAAAATATGCATTAACAAAACTTCTGTGTAAATAAAAATACAATTTGGAAGATTTCTACAAGAAAAACAACTTACATATAACAGACAAGTATTTCAAATGGAATTTGAAATGACATCACAGTTCATTGGTATTAAACCCGTAAAAAAGAATCACAGCTTTTTGGACCGGCAACCCAAAATTTTCATATTCAGCCATTTTCTTTGACGTAATATAATCGATTTAAATTCTACATGTAGTATCGGAGACAAATATTAAAAAAAGTCTTTTTAACGCGACTTTTGTTGTTTAAATAAATATTATTCGTAGTTGCTTAAGTGTAATGAAGGTTTATATTACGCGGTGGACATAGTTCTAGAGCATAAATAAAGCTCTCTATTAAACACACTAGCCTAAGCAAACTTCCATTTACAAACTTGCATTAAATTAAATTATTTTTATATATACGGGCATTGTGATCTTTGAACATCAATAGTAACAACATTTAAAACATTAATTCTTCATAAAAACGGGAGACAAAAATTATAACATAAACATGTCGACATAAGTGGTAAAGAGATAATATGTGTAAAAAAACGCTGGTGCAGTTACACGTTCAATAAGAGTTTTTAATTTTTTTCGTATTTTTCATTTTTTGATACTATGATAACATGATTGGTAGCTGATTGCTCGTATATCATAGCATTTTTCTCTTCTGGCATAGGATGGTTTTAAGACATACAAAAATTTAAAATAATAAGAAAATTGAAATAAAAGTTCAGTTCGTTCCCAACTAGTCCATGTTGTATGTCGGGCGTCTGTTTTAAAACTGACTGTCAGGAATATCCGAGTGTCCAACCTTGTTACTACAAATAAAAAATCAACAATAAATGTTTAATCTATGATCATTCTAAAATATCATAGCTCATAATGATAACAAGTTGTACCAATTCTTGTAAAATGATTCTCTCATCTATGGTGGCTGAATGCTGCTATTTCGTGTCTTTGCCCCTCAAAAGTTGAAAGAGAAGACACGATGATAGTGCTCACTTTTCCAGCCTTTGCCTTGTATGACTTTTGAGAGGGCTCCGACACGAAGACACGATAAATTTAGGCGAAATAGCAATATTTTAATGGTTGAAAACTCGAGGCCTTCATCTGTAGAATTATCGTGTCGGTGGGTAGAAAGTTTCGTATCGGCGTCCTATATTTGTCGTGTCGTCGTGTCTTCGCCTTAAAAGGCGAAAAACGAAGGCACGATAATTGGCTACCAGACACGTCAGTGGGGTCTATAAAGCATATGTTGAATGGAAATAAAGATGATACTACAGTCATTTAATTACAAGCATTAATATATAGATAAAAGAGCTGACGTTATTAAGTACTGTTAACATCTATATAATAATACATGAAAGTTGTATCTAATATATCATACCTTCTAAAGTGATCATTTGAACTGGAGTCGTAAGCGTTATTTGTGTCACCTTTAGGTCTGTAGGAAAAATAAGAAAATAAATTGTTTCCATTAGGGATTAAAGAAAACACTAACATATTGGAATAAAATGTCTGTTTGAGGTACATGATGTTTCAGTAACAACATTTTATCAATGGTTTCTAAATAAAATTCCACTATACGATACAAACCGTACTGGAAATCCTGAAATTTATGATATATATTTATGAAATATATTATTTGAAAAAACCTCGCAATCTACAGTCCGCTTTTGTATCAAAATTCTGCAAATTAGAGATCCATTTAACAATATGGTCAGGCTTTCATAAGTTTATAGAGCATTCATCTCGTTCAATCAGAATACCTCCAGATTCATCCTATTTTTCAAGGTTGTTTTTCAAAAAATATATTAAAAAGTAAGTTATTGTAAATTGAACAAAAAAGTAATTTGCACTTTGCAAACGGCACTTAGGAAAATAAGAAAAACGAAAATAGGCCAGAATGTTCAAAATTAGTCACGCAGTAGAAATATGATAATTTGAATACTGCAAGAAACATTAATATTTACATATAACATGAACATTATTTCTTGAATTGTGGATGTATTTATTTTGTTTAAAATCTAAGTAAATTTTAATCAAGCCTGATTTTCTTCAAATATTTTTGCTCATCTAGAAGAATGCAGCTTTTAAGTGTACTCACATATCTGACTCTGCGTCACTGTTCATGGTGCGATAATGTTTGGCAAGCTTTACAGAAAATACAATACTTGGAACGAAAAAGAATAAACACCATCCGATCGAGAACCAGAAACCATTCTGAAAATACATGATTATATTGAATGAGTGTAAGTTTAATACTGAATTTATTGAACGAGTTGTATAAAATTATATTATGCGATTCTCTGAACTTTTACGAATTTAATATTATATTTATCACATACCAACATTAAAGATCGTTTGAATGGAAAAAGAACCAAATTTCATTAGCGCCTATAGTTTAACGCTAGTTTATGCAATGAAAACGACGTCATGTCATTAAACATGCACGGCGTGTAATACCATTTTTACGGAGTCGCACAATCGGCATGGTCTTGTGATAATTTATTTAGAGATGATAGCAATAAAATACTAAATTTATTCAGATGTCCAATAAATCTCGTCCGAAATTGTTCGATAAAAATGATTGTTCATTCCATTGGTGGAAAAAATATGACAGAATGCAAGAAAAGGGAACTTACGAATGAATCAACAATGTATTTGCACACTGACGTCAATATAATGGAATCATAAAGGTTCCATAATGGTGTACATTGACCAACGCCATTCTTGATCTGAGAAAAAAAACATAGTATATTTATAATATTGAATACCTAATAACGTTGACATTAAACGTGATGTTCACAAAAATAATGAATTAAGCAGTAATGTAATGATGACGAAAATGATAATGTTAATACCAAACATTGTAATTGCGATAATAATAAAGTGATATATAGTAAATGTGATGTTCATTAACATAATGAAGTAATGAGATAACCAGTTATCGTTAAGATAACGTTAGTGATAATGTTAATATTAAATGTGATAATATACGATTATGATGAATAAAAAGTCAACGAGATGTTGACAATAATGATAACAAAATAGTTACTGTTATGTGGACGATATGATAACATTAATTAAAAGTAAAATAAAATGTTGACGATTGTATGATAACGGATGTTGACGAAATTTTTAATATACTTTACAAACGTGGTTTTGAGGATACTGATAACATAGTTGTTTAACGTAGCTTTGCCAATAATGATTACGTGGTGTTGGGGATAATGATAACATAGTACTTTAATGTGGCGTTGCCAATAATGATAAAGTGGTGTTGAGGATAATAATAACATAGTTCTTTAACACGGCGTTGCAGATAATGATAACGTGGTGTTTGGGATAATGATAACATAACTAGCAAACATGGCATTTACGATAATAACAATGTTGTGTTGAGGATAATGATAACATCTTAACGTGATGATAAAGATAATTAGGACATTAACACCTACTATGTTGATAATAATGATACTAGTTACAAAGGCAATGTGGTTTTGACGATATGATTACATTAACAGTAAATATGTTGGTCGCAATAATAATGTCGTGGTGTTGTTGATAATGATTAAATGAATACTTAACGAGATGATAACGACAATGCTAAGATTAACACTAATCATACTGACATTTTTGATAATGATAATAAAATCTAACTGTTAGTATAACAACGATGTAGAACACTAAAAATCAATAACGTGGGTAAAAATGATAATCAAAGACAATTACCAATCACCACTTTTAAAATTACAATGATTATTACATTCATTCTCAATACATTATCTTAACTCGCCCTTTTATTTTGCAAAACAATATGAATAGCTAGTTACTTACCGAGTCTTTTGTGTTGTCTACATATTCATTTGCTATATCCAAAATTTCCTGTTTGTATCCATTTGTTATCTGAAAGGAAAATCAACTGCATTCTCACTTTGTCCGACAAAATGATGTAAGAATGTCTTACAACACCGCTTTGTCCGACAAAATGATGTAAGAATGTCTAACAATACCGCTTAGTCCGACAAAATGATGTAAGAATGTCTAATAATACCGCTTTGTCCGACAAAATGATGTAGAATTGTCTTACAACACCGCTTAGTTCGACAAAATGATGTAAGATTGTCTTATCACACCGCTTTGTCCGACAAATTGATGTAACACGATTTGTCCGACAAAATGATGTAAAATTGTCTTACAACACAAGGATGTTAGATAGTCTTAGAACTTCGGCTATTTTATTGGTTCTATAATTAAAAACGAAACATTCAATACTGAGTCGTTTATGATAGCTCCTCAAGTTTAGCTTACTTTTACTGCCCATGTATATAGGATAATTAAACGTGGTATCAATATAACCTATGCTGAATTGCCACAAACAATAATTGTCTGAAAACGATTAGTCTAAAGAAATACTGAACAATTATTACCTCTGTCATTTTAGATCCTATCTGACTGCTCACGTTAATTAAACTAGCTCTAAACTCAGTTTTCCACTTCTGAAAACAAATACCAGAAAAATAGAAAATTAATAGACTCATAATTATATGTACAATTTGTCACATGACAAAGATAGGATCACTAAATGAAATGATGACAAGCATCTCTAAATGATTTTGAAATAATATATATTTTATTTATGATTTAAATGAATACAACATGTTTATAATAAATTGTCAATATATAGAGACATGAATGAACAAATGATTAGACCTTAATTTCAAGCGGTACACGTTACGAAAATAACAAACAATAGCAATAAATGTTAAAGATAAAAATTGCCTTTTATAAAAAGTAGATACAAATTCAAGTCATATTTACCTGAACTTCACCTTTAATTTTTTTTAAATCTTTAAGGGCCGATCCCAAATTAATCTGAAATTCAAATGTATAGCATATTTATTATTTCACACATACACAGACGTATACGATTAATATTAACTGGAAAATATTAATTGTTTCGATTTATTTTTTTTTTCATTTTGAACAATATTGAACTAGCTGAAACTGTTTTAAATTAACTAACTATTGAAATAGTGAAAAAACATAAATTATTAAAATTTAGATAGATGTCGAGTTGGGTCGTCTTGCATCACTTGACGCCAATATTTCTGAGACAATCGCATCTTCTCGGGCCTTTCTGGATCCGTCAACCTTCGGATGAGGACATTGTATATACAGAACGGGTCAACGCGAACAAACTAATACAAATAGTGATTTAATCATGAGAGTTGTTGACTAAGTTAATCGCAATATATCGAGTAAATTCCCGAGTAAATTAAGTACATTTATAGATATCAAACTACAAATTATTATGTTTTTGAAGAAACCAAAAATACAAAATGAATACCTTTTGACATGAAGTTCGAATTAAGGTAGAATTGTACATCAGAGGGTATTTCTAAATTGTGTTTGTCAGACATGATATATTCAAACATAATTTTACCAAATTAATACTTTATCTTTCTTTGGCTGTCAAATATATACATCCGTCACAAAGATTACACCTAAAACCACGCGATAGAATAGAACAATGGTTAATCATTAACCATTACGACATTTTTATGAATAATTGACGTGGTGTTCTGATTTATTGTGAGAATTATATCCTTTAGAAAACAAATATATATACGTATGTGGTTTACCATGGAGGTTTTGTAGTGTGTCACTGATGAATCCTGAAATGATACAATGATAAAAAAATTGTTTGACATTTGTTTGCATAATTTTTTGTAACAAGTGCATCATAGCAAAAAGAAAAAAAAAACCGAAACATCCCACATGTTCTATTATAAACCAAACTCAATGACGTAACTCAGGTCGATGTAACATTATTATTTACTGCGTTCTATTGTACACATAATCTAAAAATATTCTGACAATCAATTTTGATATTTTGCGCTGTTTGAGCTTGTTGAAGCGTTTGAATGTTTTTTATTATTATTTTAGGATAATATTGCATAAATAAAATGATTTCTGATTTCTCTGAACAAAGAGAACAAATGATCTGAAATTTTACGTATTCGTTTTTTTGTCTAGACCTACAATAAAATGTATCAATATCTCGAAAAAATACCGTCATGTCAATAAAATCTAGAAATAGTTCTTTAAATGTTAATAATGAAATATATGATGATATCAGAAGTTTTTTAGCTGGGTTTATATAACGTTGCACCAATACAGTTATTATCACATGGCGACGTACTAGCTTTACTGGTGTAGGAAAACCTCTGATGTCCGTCCATGCATTATTTCAGGCAAGAATGCGCACCTGAGTAGAACCACCGGCGTTCCGTAAGCTAGCCGGATAGCTTCCTCACAAAAAAGAATTAAAAGTCCCTGTCGGGATTCGAACCCACAGCGGTGAGGGCAAGCTGCTTGAAGTGAACGATATTTATCACTCGGCCACGGAAGCCCAATATCAGAAGTTAAAACGCACTCTATCACAAAGGGTGAAATAATATCACAATTGCGTCATTTTACGGTTTTAGTATTTGTTTTAGATTTATTTTTTTAAAGAACCGAAAATAAATCAACATTATAGTTAAGTCTAGTTTAGTTTTAAGTACATGTAATTGTTGGTTGTTCACTTACCACGACCGGTAGTGTTGTAAGCACGACCATCTGAAATAAAATAACAACAAAACATGTTTACTAGCAAATAACGTCACATGCTGCTTGACAAATAAGTTATTTGAATGGTGGTTAATTCGTGCCATTCGTGTTTTCGCCCTGCGACCCCACCAAGGGAAAAGTCGAGAATAAACAAGTTAAAATGGCGGAGGCGTGGAGCGAAAAGCCGCTTAATTAGACAGAGCACAGTCATGGCGTAGAAAAATAAATAAAACCATGCTATCAATGACGGTGTAGTCTTACCATGCTATCAATGACACTGTTATCTTACCGTGCTATCAATGACAGTGAAGTCTAACCGTTCTATCAATGACAGTGTAATCTTACCGTGCTTCTAATGACGGTGTTGTCTTACCGTGCTATTAATGACACTGTTATTTTACCGTGCTATCAATGACAGTGTAGTCATACCGTTCTATCAATGACAGTGTAATCTTGCCATGCTATCAATAACAGCGTAATATTACCATGCTATCAATAACAGCGTAATATTACCATGCTTTCAATGACAATGTCATCTTACCGTGCCACCAATGACACTGTAATAGTACCGTGCTATCAATATTAGTTAAGTCTTACCGTTGTACCAATGTTATCTTACTTTGCTATCAATGAGAGTGATATCTTACCGATGTTTCAAAATGAAAGTGCAATCTGACCGTGCTTTCAATGACAGTGTAATCTTACCGTTGTATCAATGACACTGTTGACAGTGTAGTCTTACCGTGCTATCAATGGCAGTGTTATCTTACTGTGCTATCAATGACAATGTAGTCTTACTGTGCTATCAATAACAGTGACGGCTTACCGTGCTATCAATGACAGTGTAATTTTACCGTGCTATCAATGACGTGTAATTTTACCATGCTATCAATAATAATTTAATCTTACCAATGTATCAATGACAGTGAAATCTTACCGTGCTATCAATGATAATGTTATCTTACTGTGCTGTCAATGACAGTGTTATTTTACCGTGCTAACAATGACAGTGTAACTTTACTTTACTATCAATGACAGTGTAGTCTTACCGATGTATCAAAGACAGTGTTATCTTATCGTGCTATCAATGACAGTGTTATCTTACCATACTATCAATGACAGTATAATCCAAGGCATTGAGTACAGTCTGTAGCTGAGTTAGACTTTGAGTGGCTTTATTCACGGCTGATCCAGCACTTATTCCACTACTACCGCTCAAACCACTTAAAGCATTGTCCATTTCTGTATCAATGCTCTGAAAAACATGTTATTCCGAATACATAAAAAAGGAGGTAAGGCTACAATGAAATATGTGTACGATTATTCCTTTCATACAAAATAGTATTGATCCAAACAAATTATTTTCTTTGATTTTACCACCACTTGAAGGTTATTTTTTCTATTTAGGTTTTCCAGTCACACAGACATAATGGTATGTGTTATTCACCAGATTAAGCTCTTAAAGTAATCTCCGGGTATTATCTTTTGGAATTCTTACGAAAATATACTTTGGTTACACCAAAAGCCTTTAGCAGTTTTTGTCGATGCTCGCAACGGTTAAGAGCAAATATTACAAAGTAAGCAACATGAACCGCCTACAACTGAGATACCGCACTATGCGTTTTTACCTATAAGGCATTTTACTGGCGTATAACAGCTGAGGAAAATTAAAGAAAAATTGCTGCATCATGCTTTAAGTAATAGAAAAAGCATCGGAACACGAGGCTATTTTAATTTGTACGAGGGGGGTGGGGGGTGGGGGCGTAGCCGCCGAGTATTAATCACATTGCAGAGTGTTTTGATGTTCTTTCTCTATTGTATCATAGTCAAACATAAAAACACGGTCCCTGTTGTCACATTATGAAGCCCTGGGAAAAAGTTACTTATGAACGAGCATCTGAATATGATATTTCTGTCGCGTTCTCTTCCGACACAATAAGTAAACCCCAGCAGAAATGAGCCAATCATTGGGCATGCTCTGGAGTGCAGGTAACTAAAACCTGCACTGTGTATGTATATGTATACGATTTAACTCTGACACATTTTCAACAGAAAGATCCCCAACTATAATACAACCTAACATAGGATGTTACTTTGTATTTTCGCAACTATATATCGCAAAGAAAATTATCATTTACATACCGTTAACTGTGCCGCTAGAGTTGTATCCAGGTCAGATAAATTGAAGCCTTTAGCGTCTAAGTGGAATGCTTCATATGCCGCCTTTCCATCCCGACAATCCCTGAAATATAAATCAACATCAATTAAATTAAATAGTAACATCGCAATCAACAAACTGGTTTAAAAATAAAATCAGACGAATGTTGGTACGACAAAATGACTTTCAATTACAGGTATTACCAATCAATATATAGAGAAATGTATAGATTACGTTAATAACGTCCTGTGATAAATGGAGTACAATATCACTGCGGTATACCGTACCCCGGATATTGCTCGATATTATGAGGACTTTCATCCCATTTCGCGACTTTGAACGAGGTAAGAAGGTAGGTTCAGTGACGATATTTAGTCATTTTGAATTGGTTTGATATTAATGTTATAGAAAAACAAATACTTCGATAATTTCTCTAATTACTGAAACCCCAAAATTGTTGAGAAATAGCTTTGAAATGTAATTAGGAGGTAAAATTCGCCTCTTTGCTCACGTGAAAAATGAGCTCCGATCAGTCAAATTTGATGTTTTTGTGCATATACTTCCTTAAAAGAAAAAACTTGAATCGAATGAAATGTGAAAATGATGATAATGTTTATGTTGTAAATGTTCAATCAACTATAGAATCTCAGATGACCGTGCATTTTGAGAATAAATACAGATGTCCGTGTACCGAGTATTGCGTTGGAGTTGCCCGCCGGTGTCACGAGTATTGCTTTTTAGTGTAACGAGTATTGGTTATCAATATAGAGTAAATGCAAGTAGCAAACACAGAGTATTTCCTACATTTAATTTTAAATCTTATTGTGTATACTTAATTACACTATATGTGCATTGACTGAAAACATCTGCGATTAATCCAGATTTTCATTCCTGCTCATGAAAAATCTCAGCAATTTTCCGTGTCTAAAAAGTTCTCGTTGCTATCGAAGGATCAACCTTTCCAGAATTTGTTAATAATTATTGCATATCTTACTTTAAATAGTAAAAAAATGCATCCAAAGTGCATTAATGCTGCCTCAAGATTGTCAATAGTATACGGTATTGAGCAAGTCTGTCAATACAATGTATCTAATATCAACCGACTTCCTACTAAGCCAAAAATCCATATAAAGGTAACTTTCGGTCATTTTGTACCTGCACTCTAGCAACGGCAGACCGTCTGCAAGTGAAATTTGTTACGTCATTAGCAATGAGTTATCGTATGAACAGCTAAAAAGCGAATAATGGATTTTAATAAGATTATGATAAAGGGCAGCAGATGCAATGAAAAAGTTATGTTCCTTATAACCTTTTATCTCATAAAGGCGTGTTTAGAAGGTTTTACACCCCACCCCTGTGCCCCCTTCTGTTTGGGGCATTAGCCCCTCTAATCGCCGAGAGGATTTGGGACTTATGGGGGTGGGGGCTAAAATGGTCTCAGGTCGATTTAAAAGTACCGTGTATAATCAACGCCGAAAACCTTAGACTTTATCTCAATCAATTGAAAAATTGCTGCACTTTGAAATCAGTTTTGATGGGAAAACAACGCAAAATGGAAATTTTTGGCAATTTTGAGACGTCCCCCAGTTGCCATTTAAAATTGAGTATGCTATTCCACAGGCTATGGCCCAGCCAACATTTGTACCCAGTTTGATCAGTATTGAAGCATTTTTTATTGTTTTATAGCATTTTTTATAGTTTTATAGCAGTTTGAACTTGTAAAAAGAGGCTTAATTCAATGATCGCAATGCTCATGCAGTAAAAGGTTAAGACTATACCGGCATGCTTGGACGGCATAAGCACTCGGGCCAATATTTTACTAAGTGTGTCGATATGTTTCTTAAGGCAAACTTGCCCTGTAAAAACCTATCATTAATGTCATCTAAATATGTTTTGTTATCCTTCTTCTTTTCAGAGATGGGTCTCCTTGATCACAGTTTCTTGAGACATGTATTTAAAGATTTTTATCGTCAACTTCGATGGTTCTACCCTGCTCCCGAGCCTGCTTCCGACCCTGCAAACACTTTATTTCATATAAAGTGTGATTTTCAATCAAATGGGAAATTATATCTCTGTATTTGCCCGTAGGAAAAGAACAGTAATAACACTGAAAATCCATTGTTGAATCAGAAATATTTGAATAAATATCATATAAACAGAACATTATAAGCGAATATATGGAATCGATAGACAGACGTGAAAATTAGACTTAAATATCGATTTTCCATTTTAATATGCTCATTCTGTTTTGCAATACACTGTACACTAAAGTTGGGCTATTTTGCAATACTCTGTACACTTAAAATCAATACTCGGTACACTTTCTTGTATCTTTTTAGGCCTGTATCTTTTTGTAATTTCACACTTTTTGCCTGAAATTTGGACAACGCATACTTGGATTGTGAATAAAAAAATTGCTCGATTCAATTTTTTTATATTGGTAATATAATAATTTCTTACGATTCTCAGTATCGCGGTCAGTATTTTCTAGTGAGCAGCGGATCGTTGAGGGGTAGTTTAATCAATTTTAGAAATACCTGTAATATTTTTACGTGTTTAAGAGCTACAAAAATACCTCTAGATATATAAAACCCGTTGAGACAAATGAAATAGCCATTAGTTTGGAAAATATCGTCGCTGAACTTACATTCGTTCGCCGTTCAAAGTCGCGAAATGGGATGAAAGTCCTCATAATATCGAGCAATATCCGGGGTACGGTATACCACAGTGAATATGGATAATATAGAATGAAGTAGTGTGATGTTGATGGAAAGGATGAAGTTTGTACAAAGTAATTATCAGCTTACTTCAGCACTTGTGCCAATGAGGAACCAAACATTTTCCTAGTGTCGAACTGTTTGTCAGCAACCTAAAAGAAAAGAAATGTCGTGTGTATTTCTGATGTTTTATATTATTTATACGTTAATTTACTTTTACAAGTATCTTATATTAATTTATACACATGTCCAATGAAGACCTCTTGATTGAAACAAAATAAAATATCAGCGTTTGTGTATAATTTAATATAACATAAGATATTCTAGATGGTTGTATAAAAACCATCTTACACGCTATACTTTGTTCAAAATAAGCATTACCCTTTACAAATTTAATTGAAAGTCCACATTTTCTTAACCACGCTTAAGTTGTTAAGTTGTTTATTTATATAAGATATAAACTTACATTTTTCAAACATAATCAATTAAAGATAAAACCAATCACTTGTGTTTTACTTACTTTAAGGAGCTCAAAATCTGGCGGTGATAACGGCTGACAAACAAACCTCTCAAGGATAGAACCGACCGAAAAAGTGAGCGTCGTCAACAACATGAGGAGCCAAGAGAACAAGAAGATAAAAGCGACAGACCTGAAATTAAAACAAGAACACCGGATACATAGTAAGCTGTAATTGTAATTTAAGCAAAATAATTGCAATAATAATGATAAAAACTTTATTGAAAGAGGCAATACAATAAGGTATGTCCAGTCTTCCCTAGAAGTCCATTAAAACATAATAGAAAAAATAGATAAAAAATAAATAAATATATAAAACTTTACAAAATTTTAAGTCAAGTAATTCATGGAAAAAGGACTAGTTAGGGCATATTTATATTCGTTTGACTTCTGTACTAAAAAAAAAACAAACAACAGACAGGCCAATAACAAATGAGTCTTTATAAGTGTCTGAGTTAGTTGCTGTATTTTATAATAATATAGAACATATCATACTAACATTTTGGTAGGTATGTAGATAAGTTATTTAAAATGTTAAGCAAATGTAGAAAGTTCCAAGAAGACGGATGCATACTAATTATGTACTTGATATTTACCAAATAAATTCATACATTTAAATAAATTATAATCTGACGATAAACATATACGTCCTTTGGCAAAAATCACAACAACAACAAAACATGTCCAATTATTTTTGAAGCTCAGTGAAATAACATTATATTGTTTGAAAGTATAACTTACGCTATTAACATGTTACCACCCGAGTTTGAGACACAGCCCCTATCTACTGGTAGAGTCCTCAGACCTTGACCGACCGAGCCAAAAACCATGCCGAAGAATTGCAGGAGAACGATAAGTGTTATGATTCCTCCGAGGACATTGCCGCCAATGTGCCTGTAACAAAATATCAACATGATTACATCTTTTTTTACAAACTAAATTGTAATATTTTGTTAGCAATTCAACCAAGTCACGAGTATTTAGTTGCGTATGTTTGGAACTGCAATAATACTACTCCAAGTTACATAATTAAACAACTGTTGATGTCTAATACACTTACAAGGAATTCTCAGGCAAATTAATAACAAAAAATATTAAAATGATCTTATGTACTCAAATCATGCTAAAATGACAGTTTTGAAAGTCCTGACATGAATTTCTGTATATATTCTATATGTTTTGGATTTTAGGCGTAAATACATTTACACAAGTTGAACGAAATCTAGACGCCGACAGAATCACCGAGTAGTTTTTTTAAAAAGGCATATGACTTGAATAAACCCTGGACGGTACAATAACAGCTATTGTGGATATTGTATGATAGAAACAAGTCTAAGCCATTCATTTGACATGTTCTTTAACGTTTCTAGATTTCACTGTGACACCTATTGTGAAATCTTAACACTCTAGCCTGGGGTCAAGTTAGGAAACCATCATTTTATTCTTTATAAGGAGAATTTTTTTGTTCCTGTGACTGCCTAGTGTAATGATTTTGAGGACATTTACACAAAAATGAATGAAAGAAATTTCATAACGAAGAAATGAACATTTTGCCTGTGTCTCCCTATAATGCTTTAGAGATATATACAGTATGAATATAGTGAATTATTACATGTATTAGATACAATATTATACCTGTATTTATCGAATGATTGTGCAGTGTCTGTGAAATCCCTTGCTTGATCTTTGTAAGACTGAATATCTATACCGTCTTTGGCCTGCAATGTAAATGATTATTTTGTATCGTGTTTAATTCTGGTAAATGATGCACATTCTGTTGATAGTAATATGATTATAGCAAATAAAATATGTTATGAATGGGTTGTTTGATCGCTAGGATGTCATTAAAATTTATTTAATATAATCAAGCGAGTATTATTTATACTGAATATTACTTCTTTTTTATTCAATAGATACAATCTTAGTATTCCCATTTTTTGAAACATATAGATTCATGAAGAGTTCCGACAGTTTTTAAAAAGTTACGGACTGGTTCTAATTAAGTCGGTTTGACTTTTTGACTGTAAGGCACTGCAAAGGTACGTGGCATCAAAATTTCGACCTGAAACTTTGAATCATTTCGGAGATGCCAACCACTTTTTTAATTCCTTAGCCTTCATTGTTAAAGAGGTAGATGTAAAACCTAAATTAAACATGTAAAATGTCTTTAAACTTACTTCTGTTTTGAAACTTTCTATGTCAGTAACATATTTTTTTACTTTGGTTTGCATTTTATCAAAAGAGGTCTGTACATTTGTTTTTATCCCTGGAAAATGAAACAAAAATCATAACAATTATCACCAAAACCTGTTCTATTATCGTCATTAACATCAACAAAAATAACACAATAAAAGTGCAAATATTTGAAAGATTTATTGCAACTGGGTATGATTGTTTTGCAGGGATTGTAAATGGGTTTGCCATCTTGTAATTTGATCATTACAACTTCTTGTTACGTTAAAGATATCTACGAGTAGACAAGTGTTTTTATTTGCGTATTCCTGCACATGTAAATGTTCTTTTATCAAAATTATATTGTAATACAAACAACGACATGTTGCCTGTACTTCTTTCGCTTGTTTTAACAATTCCTTTGCCGAACTTGAAAGTTGCTTATGTGTAAGGAGGACAAAATTTGTTCAAAATGCAGAAACTACCATATGAGTAACTTTACTTTTCCGGTATATGGATAAATATTGTTAAAATACACGTATGATAACCGTAATATCATAACAGTTAAAATAATTCAAATAAAAGACAATTAGATGTACTGTTTGGTCAATTTACCTGTTAAATCAGGAAGTTTGGCTCCTATATTATTCCCAATTTCATCTTTAACCTGTAATATAATGAAAAACGTTTACGATCTCTGTTGAATTTATTACATTTTTTTGTACAAACAAATGTTGAATGTAAAAATGCAGATCTGGCGGTCTGGCGGTCGGTCGGTCGACCTCTAGGTGTGTGTATTGGAACTCCTAACCTACTTAAATGTTGATCTCGCGTAGTCCACAATTCTGAGAAAAGTAACCAATTTAATCTGTGTATTTGAAAGATAAATATATTAAATAAATATAAATGTACTTTATGCTAAACATTTTACTTAAAAATGTGCTGTAATTTTAATGAACTTAATTCATCTGGGTTGAAAAAAAGACAACAGATAAGCATTAATCACCACCTGGATGACATGCAGCTATCTTCAAGACTTTGGAAAGTTGTTATATTTAATTGCATATATTATAAGATATGTTTATATATTACATCACCTGTTTTACTGCATCATCGTTTTAAAAACCTTTTAAAAACTTTTTCCTTCTGGGGGGGGGTTTTTGGGGGTTAACGGAAATGATAAGATTTTTTACAGGGTATTAATTTTTGTTTTTTCCATTTTACTACTACTTTCCTCTTCAGCCATTACAATTTGTTTTTGGGTTCCCAAAAATTTCACTTTTTCGTAATAAAATTCGTTTTAAACATCTTGTGCGTTTGGTCTAGGGCCCCCAGCAAGTGTTTGACTAAAGGGGAAAGAGGGAAATGAAAGTTATTTTCCACAAAAAAACTCCCGGGGCCCTTCTTTTTTAGTTGGGGAATTTTTAAAAAAGACTTTAAACAAAGGGGGGGTTTTGTAGCGTGATTTTTTACTGTAAAGGGACATTTTTTTCCTCTTCTTTAAGTGTATCCCTCCCTGCTTTGCCCCAGTTTTTAACAAAAATAAAGGGGGTTGCCCTATCCTATTTTGAAATGAATTCGAGTTTAGAGGACCAAACTTACTCCTCGTGTAGCTAGCGGATCGGTCGGAATGGCCCCGACTGAATTACTGTGCAGGTGCCTGCAGCCGGAAACAACTTGTCATCATTGTCGTGGTAAGCATTAGTTTGCTTGTGTTGTCTTATCTGATACAGCATCAAATGCCTTCACAGCTGACTGTATATATCTGCTGCAAAACACATCACCGTTTCAATTTTAAAACATACAATGCATGTAGACGTAACTATCATATCAGTGAAAATTGTAAAGCGAAAAAGTAAAGTTTCTGAATCAAGCAAATTAAAGTGTTGGATGCCAATCAATTTTGGAATAATTATCATTTATGAGCAACGCTATGCCCAAGTTTTCATTGGTAAAAGTCGTTCCCCTAACTATAAGGGCATGGGGTAGAAGGAGTAAACTGTTTATAACGGGAATTGATGCCAGTTCTGGCCAATATTTAAAAAATTGGGCAGGAGAAGTTAACTTTCACCATTCAGGTTCATATATTCTATTTATAAATATGTGTAGGACTACAAGTGTCAATGTGTGGTACCCGATGTGACCGGCATGGCAGACAGACCCTCTTCAGATATGTAGAATAAAGTTTATGATAAGTTCATCATATAAAATTGACAAGGTACTATTTTTTTTGAAATAAAAACCAAATAAATGACATTATTTTAAAGTAAGATTCAACTTACTAAGTTCCAATCTTGTCCAGTGCCTCCGTTTGATAAATAGTTTCACTGCAAAACTACTGATTTCTTTCTCCATCGCCGCTATAAATTATTTTGAAAAAGAAGAAAAAAAAAGTTCACAATTTTTAACCTGACACATATTACTAATGATAAATGTTTATCCCATATCATGTCATACTTTTTTTCAGAGAAATAAACCAAAGGTGTATATATAACTGTGGTATATCAATATGGTTATCTATTACCATTTTATATCACCATGATTATATCGGCATGATTACATGGCTATGATAAAATAACCACGATGGTATATCACTGTGCTCATGTGACTCTGATTAAATTTTTCATTGCTTATACCAACATGAATATGAATGATAGAATATTGCTATGCTCATATAACATTTGACCATATCGCTACGGCTATAGTATTATGGTTATATAGCTATGATTATTTCACCATAATTGTATAGCTAAGCCTATTTTACTATGGTTATATAGCTATGATTTTATTTTTACCTGTATTGTCGAGTTTATTCTCGATCGCTGCTCTTGTTGTTCAAGATTTTTGACCCCTATGACCTTTGCTTGCTGGAATGTTTTAAATATTCATGGTTGAAAATGAGTTTAAACATATTTCAAATATTGTAAAAGAAGAAAATATGAATGAATTAAACCAGAGGGCCATAATGGGCCCTGAATCGATCCTAGAAAACAACGATTTTTCAGTGATTATAGGAATAATTTGTCAAATAAACTTGTAAGAAAGACAAGTCCAGCTACTTCAACTTGCCTCTCTAGTTGTAAAGTTTCCCGACACTGAGTTTTATTCAAGATCTCTGAATAGCAAACAGGTCATGACATTACGACTGTCTCCCAGCTAAAGAGTCTTTTTTTTCAGAAAAAGTGCATAACATGTACACATATATGGAAAACATTCCAACATGGGTTGTTTTCATAATTAACTATAATTTTGAAGAATTGGCCACGGACTGGGACACTTCAGCTTTAGCGGCCCCCTAAAAGGAGCCAATCAAAATTAATATAAGCAAACTTTGATAAAAGACTACCTAAGAATGCTACATACAAAGTTTTTAGTGGCCATACATCAATTAGTCCTGTAGAAGGAGACGTTTAAAGGTTTTCTATTTTTAACTTTATCGGTTCATAAAAGGGGCCGAGCAAATTTGATAAAAGACTACCAAAGAATGCTACTGGTAAAGTTTGGTGATCAGCCAATAAATTAGTTCAGTAGGAGAAGATGTTAAAAGGTTTTACAATTTTTAGCTCTAGAGGCCACTTAAAGGGGCCAGTCAAATTAATTGGAACAAATTTCATAACAGACTATCTAAGAATGCTAATGACAAAATTTGGTGGTCATCTATCAATAAGATCAGTACAAAAATGTTTTAAGGTTTTTTCTATTTTAGCTATAGCAGTCCCTAAAAGGGTACAATTCATATGAGCAAAATTAATAAAAGACTACCTAGGAATGCCACAGACAAAGTTTAATGATCATCCATCATTTAATTTAGTAATAGAAGATGTTTAAATGTTTTTTTTCTTTCTATTTTAGCTCAGTTGACCCTAAATGGGGCCAATTGAAATGACATGAGCAAATTTAAGTGTGACTGTCACAAGGATGCTACAAGCCAAATTTGAGGTATATCTGCGCAGCAGTTTCAGAAACGAAGACGCATGACGCCCTTTGATACTTATAGCTCACCCGAACCTTCGGTTCTGGTGAGATAAAAAAATCAGTAGGACAAGAAAAAAGACGATTGAGAACGCGGGTGTTTTTATCACTTCATATGTGGAATCATACTGATGTCTAATCCACTTGTACTGGCCTTGTTATGTTAACTTAATTCTCTATAATTTACAATGCCCGTAATCATCGGCTTGAATGACATTATCACGAATACTCGATAGTTTTAACACTTATAAGGGTAATTTTTAAATCTAGGCAATACGTCTCCTTCGGATCAACCTGGAACCCATTGATTATAATTTTAGATATTCCTTACCTCTACAATATAGTAACGTTTAAAAACCCGTGGTCAATGTCATTCAGGTTATTTGGTCTACTATTACCGGCCGACTTTTTCCAGCGCCGTTTGTCACATCCTGTCATTATTAAACATACGTTCCAAAATATTACCAACCCTGAAAATTCAGTATAGTTGTAAATAACGTTATTTTGGTATGAAACTTTAGTGGAGAATAAACTTTGAATATCATATACTTGTTAAAAGATTAGTTTCATTAATTAATAAAATCTTTCACAAAGAATGATTTACATTTATGTTAAATGTCATCTGTAGTTTAATATAGTAATACATGTAATTGATGAAAGAACCATATAAGTGCCAAGGTAGTAAACTAAATTATTGTTGTTTTCTTCATTCGAATGAGTGAAGATAACCATGTAAGATATATGTCTCTATATTCTATAGAATTTATTTCAGTAAATCAATGTTAAATTTTGTTAAAGCCGATGCTAGGTGGGTAGCATGTAATTAACACTACAGACAATAAACAGGCTTAATTCAACTAAGTCTGCAAATTTTCAATTTTTCCGTTTTGGGCTTTTAAAAGTTTCCATTTATTGGCCATTTTATCTCGATCTTAGACTGAGTTGTGTTAACCAAATATTACAGGAACTGTTACTTGTTCTGTTTTTTTCCGTATTGTATCACATATACGGCCGTATATAGGTAGAGGTATAGATAGCTATAAACAATCATGTTTATATATACTTCCATCGAAAATTTCCCATACAAAACAAAGAAGACAGGAAACGGGTATTTCTATTTTTCGTTACAACACACTCCCTTTCGTCCCGGATCCTAAATATCGAGATTTCCCTTATCAACAACCATATAGATACGTAATGGAGAGTAAATATATTCATTAATTATTATATAATTATTTTCCTTTTAAAGTATATTTGCGCATGTGGTAAAATTAGCAGGCATTATTTTACCCGAGCGGATTGCACATGCCTAATATACATAGATTGTCTAACACTGCTTTCTTTCCCTTTTATCACAATTAGAAGTCCAGAGATGTACTCCATACACCGACTTGGGGGGGAGAGAGAGAGAGAGAAGAATTGTCAGTTTAAGTCCGTGCTCCATTCCGCGCTATATTATACCATAACGCACACACAATCAAGATATATTTCCTAAATATAGAATCCTAATTACATATTTATTCTACTTTGTGCTGCATTTAACTTACAATATAAAGACTGTTGTGACAAAAGAGCAAACACGCAAACACTCGACGTTTACAGTGAATCCCATCGGTTGCTTCCTGAAACTCTTTTTCCGCCGACACAAAATCCGCAACAGACGACAAACAGCAGAAGCACGCGCCAACAAGTGGCACTGTTATTATAAATAACAGTCCGACAACAATTGCAGCGACGTAACCTTTAAACTCATTCAGAAGCTAAAATATTGGTTTAAACATATTTATTTTTTCATCAGGTTACAATATTACACATCAAACAAAAAATTTATACAAAGCTAAAATATTGTGAAAGGCAATAAAGGTTATAAAGTAACAAAAGAATAGATATTTAAAGATGTCATAAATGCCGTTTTACTTTAGGAGATAAAGAAAAGGATTAAAGTCTGCTAAACAATATGCACGAGTTATTTACTTAGTTTATTATCATCCTGAAATAAATATATAGTAAAATTGTTGACAACTGTTTAACAAAACAAAACTTTTATTAACCATAACGCATATAACTGTAGCAAAAATGAACTAAAGATTTCCCCCACGACCTATGCAGTGTGACAAGAAATGATTTTACTTAAAGGAACTTCAACTTGGTCAAACGTCTAAAATCCCCAAAAACTTGAAATCCTACATAGATTTATGTGGAGCAGGGTTTTAAAAGGAAAACTCTTTCCCAAAAGGGGAATTTAAAGGGAAAAATTTCTCTGGTGAAATTAAATATCTTTTTGTGTGTGTGTGTGTGTGTGCGATTCTTTTTCTATAAATGAGCAAACAAAGTTGCCGTGCAGTTCATTTTTGGTCATATTGCACAATCAAACAACGGGTTGAAGGAAAGATCTGCAAATTTACGTCCAGACCTACAAAAATCTGAGATAAATAGTTATAATTACCTTCTGAGCAAGCTGTAGCATATCTTGAGATCCCATGTTAGTTATCGTCTCTGTAATAAAGAAATACAAAAATGTTCTTTCATACAAATACACGTAATTATAAACAGTGTAAACATCGAATATCAAATTTATTATTACAATAAACCATAGTTTCCGACTTAAAATTTTATTGCCTCTCAGTAAATGCTAATCAACGGTTCAATTAACAAAGATTTTGTCCGCATAAAATCCCTTTACGCAAAAAATAGTATTCTTTATTTATCGCTCGAACATATGCATATGAGTAAACGCCTAGGAACCAACTCATGTCCGATATAATAACATTTTTTGTGTGTCTATATTTTTTGTTCAATCCCATTAAAATCATATCATTATTGACGTCCCACTTCCTTTCACTAGGTGGCTTTGTAGGAGCACATTTGTCTCGGAGTACATCTGTCTCACGAAGTGTGACCGATGTGTGCGTGAACATTCATATTTGCGACAAATTGGAAATGAGACAGATGTGTTCGACACACAATAGAAAGGACACTAGAAGCACATTTGTCTCACATTTTCCCATAAAATTCTTAAAAGGTAATAATTATGCCCGTCCGTTAACCGACAACCAGCCATTGTTCTGTGTTTTCTGTATTTATAAAACCGTTTTAGGTCACTTCCGGTCAATCAAAAACTTCCTGCCTCTTCATAGGAGTCATATATTAAATTAGAGAATATCCCTGTTCTGCATGTCACAATGAAAATTTCTACAAGTGCAGCATCCAGAACGTTTACCTAAACACATATGCAGCAAGTCTTTTGTTTATTTTTCAATGCTTAAAGTTTTATAAATGATTTAATGGCACTAGAAATATTCTTAGCAAAAAAACAAGGTAGTATCTACGGCCGGTGGCATAAAGGGGACATACAATTTTCTTATTTATTACGTGCGCACACGATAGCTTTTACGTGGCCACGCGATACTATTACGTGCGCACGCGATAGCTATGATGTGCGCACGCGGATATATATTCGCATTTGGACATTGACCGGGATCCTCGCAAAGTTCGATGAATAGTTCGATGCCCCTTGTATATGTCGAACCTACAGCGGTTTAGGGACAAGTGTTTTTTTTAAATCAATCGGCCACAGAGGCCCTTAAATGATCTATGGAAGAAAATTAGAAAGACCATTACACACGTATTTTGTTTTCATTAGAAATATATGTATGTAAAAATCGTCATTTTCCAAGAATTGCGGCTTTCAGATCCACCATTGAAAAAGCACTTACAACATGTACGAGTTCCTCAAATAATCCGGGTAATGCCATAATTATGGAATATCGGACCACTCAGAATCGTGCGAGACGCAACATATTCCGATGAGACACGAAGCGAGGCACGATATTGAAACACGAGATCTCGCAATGTCGAAGTATCCCGTACCACGAAATTTCAGATATGAATAAATTTTTACTTCTTTAGATAGAGCAAGTATGAATTTATTAATATTCAAATAATGATTTCTGAGGAAGTCAGATGCTTGTAATCTAAAGAAATGTGAAATTAATGCAAAATAAATGTAGCAAAATGTAAACAATGTAGTATTTTGACTTAAATCACTTCAACTTTACAAACTGCAAAATAACAGCAGATGAAAAATGCTTTAGGTAATTAGCCAATGAGTAACTTTTTGGAACTATAAAAGTACATATACCAAAATACAAAGCTTTTAAGGAATACAAATAAAAGCATTTCTCAGGCATAATGGGCCTTTAAGTGATTTTATGTAGACTATAAAGGGAATACTACTTAGCGGTATATGACCTGGAATCAATTTCTTGTCTCGCGTCGACGAACGAGATGCGAAGCGAGACGCGAGATTTCGGCGAGATGCGAAACGAGTCACGATATTGTATCATTCAATATCAACCGAGTACGGTGTTCCGTTTGGACATAAGTAACATTTTTGACTCCCTAAACAGCTATGCGCAATGGTACAAAGGCGAAATTGAGATGGTACGATGATTAAAACACGATGACACGATGGTGAAATCACGATGATGCGATGACACGATAGAGAAAATAATATCGCGTTTTCATCATCATGCCATCGCAGTTTCACATATCGTATTTTCGCCATCGTAACATCGTCTTTCACCATAGTATCATCACGTTTTCATCATCGAACCTTCGTTGTTTCACCATCGTACAATCGTTGTTTCACCATCGTACAATCGTTGTTTCACCATCGTACAGTCGTTGTTTTCCGTTCGTACCATTATGTTTTCGCCATTGCACCATCGCGTTTTCATCAACGTAACATCGTGCCACCGCGCTGTCACCACTGTACCATCGTGAACGGGATTTAGTTTGTTTCAGTGTACGACTTCAGGTTAAGCCAATCAATTACTTGAATTAGAGATATTATGATTAATAGTTCACTTTAGGTTTTCATAAAGAAAGCATATTAAGCAAACCTATTGATGATTACACTTAACATGAGGTAAAACGGCGAACCTCGATTCTAAAAGAGAATTTCTGCCGCGGGAATAATGTGACAAATAATTCATAAAAAATGACATGAGACAAATGTGCTTTCTTGTCCCTTAAAAACACATGAGATAAATGTGCTTTCTTGTCCCTTAAAAAACTTGATCGGAGCAAATTTGTCACACAAATGAGTTTTCTGGGGTAGACATTTGAGGTCCCATTTGTCTCATGTGGGACAAATGCGACCGCATTAGTCTTACGTAAGACAAATGTGCTCCGAGACAAATGTGCTCCTACATGGCTTCCTAGCGTAGAGTGTATAACGGAGCAAAAACGACGAATTAATTAATTCTAATGAGAGTTTGTTGTTGATGTTGTTGCTTAAACACAATATCTTTATTCAAAATCACAATGATAATAATAATCGTTTTCTTAATCCTCATCAAATCTTGCATATAGTATGGGAATAAAAATAATATATAATTATCAAAACAATGATTATAAAAACTGTTAAAGCAGCATTGTTCACCTGTCTCCCAGATACTGTTTCATATTTGATATTCGAGTGACCCATTTTAAAAAAAACAACACTTTACAGTATTGTAAAAAGCTTTATATCTGCTAACTATATTTAACAAAATCATTACATCATAGGTGGATTTTGAAAACAAATAATTCCTAAATAGATTTATAAGCAAGGAAAACCGTTGGTATATAAACAAAAGAGCGAGGCACATGCACGAAATCGTTAGGTTGAAATCGTGAATTCGTGAAGTTGAAATCTAAATTCACGAAGTTGAATTCGCGAAGTTGAAATAGTGAAGTTGAAATCGCAAATTCGTGAAGTTGAAATCGTAAATTCATGAACTTTAAAATTGTGAATTCGTGATGTTGAAAAGTTGAAATCAGGAATATACGAAGTTGAATTCGTGAAGTTGAAATCGTGAATTCGTTGAGTTGAAATCGGTTATTCATAAAATTGAAATCGTGAAGTTGAAATCGGGAATTCATGAAGATGAAATCGGGAATTCATGAAGTTGAAATGGCCGTACCGGTCTTTCGTAAATAGCAGATACATTCTGTGTTTCAGCACTATAAAATAATGAAATAAAAAAACATTAAAATATCATTTTACTCGTATATAGCATTATAGGTTTTGGTATTCAATGATTACATTTATATTATGCTCCATGTTGATATTTGAAAATATAATACAATCTATGATTTCGATATAGCATATTTTCGACGTGATATAAGCGTGCTTTGTGAAACACAAAGAAAAGATATGTTATATTTTAAACTCTTCTATACTTATATCAAATACGGTTCCATCTTTATCTATCTTATCTGATTTAAAGCACAGCTTATACAGGATTATTTCTAAATTTGTAACCACTATCATGTACTTAGCTGATCCGCTCTTTCTATGGTTTGCAAAAACACTTGACAAAACACGAATAATCAACAAACTTTAAAACAGTGTAAACTCATCGAAAATTTTCATATTGGAAGATTATATATCAATTTGTTTTCTTTCTCAATCCCCTGCCATGTCGCAATGAGTTCCTTGTAGATAACGTATGTCGCATTCCGCTAACCCTATCAATAACCCGGAAGATTTATACGTAGCTCATAATGACTTAAATATTTAGATAGGACTTCAGTTTAATCAGTACATGCTTTAATGTTTGATACATGACTGTTTCATCTATTCTCGATACAAGCCCCCTTGTCCTTGCATTATTGTAACCAGTGTAAACAAACATTGGAGCGTTGAACTATCGAGTGGCCGCTGCCGTGCACACAGAAGCGGTGGTATACCACGTGCACATTGTCGGTATTTTTATAATGTGTACACGAATGTCAGAAGCAACGACATAACTAACTTCATTGACGTTAATAATTAACAGGAATTTATGAGTAAACACTGTAATATTTTAACTCTTTAATATATTTTACACCCCTGTTAATTCTCCCCATTGTGTAATTGTTGTCCATCTATATTAAAAGTTTAATGAATGTCTGTAAACATCTTAATTGCATTCTTTTTGTCGCTTGAAGGAAATTGAATAAAAGGTTCCTATTTATAAATAAATATTTCCTTGTTGTTTTTTACTTTTCTATACATGACCATTGTTTTGCCTAAAACACTACTCTTATCTACTCTTATATCACCGGAATATCTTAATAATAACTTTTACCCTTTAACTAAATTTAACTTATATTGTTAAGTAAGTTTTTTCCCTGCCAGATATGTCGAAAAAATACCATAATCTTGTTCATATCATACTTATGGCTTAATGAAGCCCAAATATCAATCTGATATTATGATCGTTTCTTATTTCTTCATACAAGCTTCAACTGTGTGTTTTGTGGCTGTCACAGTGAATATAAATCATTGCAGAGGCTTTATCACAAAACAGAACAAATAACTTAAGAAAACCTATTAAATGACAACGTAATTTTGTATTTAAGCTGACTTGACAAAATCATGTATCAGCATGTCCTCAACTGGCGGTCCTAATATTTATCATGTTTGGTTGCACACATGTTAAGGGGTTTTCTAATTATTATCATTT